CTTATCGGCAGCCTCTGCAACACAATTTCCATCCGTGACAGCCAGAGAGCAACCCACTTGGCACAGCAGACCTCTCCTGTCTTGCCCACTGCTCCCCTCGGCAGTGTTTCCAATTAGTCTGCCTGTTCTGCTGCCCACTCTGTCTCTGGTGAATCCTCTCTCCCTCCCTCACCTCTGGCCTGTACCCCACTTCTTATATGCATAAATAAATAAATCTTAAAAAATTTTAAAAAAGAATCTGAAATGAAAGAGATGAAATTGTAATCGACATAGCAGAAATACAAAGGTGCATAAGAAATTGCTCTGAATGTCTGTATGCAAACAAATTGGACAATCTAGAAGAAATATACAAATTTTTAGAATCATATAACCTTCTATGATTGAACCAGGATGAAATAACTTAAACAGACTAATTATAAGCACAGAAATTTAAAATGTAATTAAGACTCTTCCTAAGAACAAAAGCCCAGGACCAGATGACTTCTGTAGTGAATTATGCTAAACCCTCAAGAGGGTATGATACCTGTCTTTTCCAAACTCTTATTTAAGAAAAAGAAGAAGAATTGAAGGGGAGGAGGTGGAGAGACTCCCAAACACATTTTATGAGGTCATCATTACCATGATCCCAAAACCAAACAAAGACAAAACCCACAGAGAATAATATAGATTATTTTCTCTGAACATAGATATAAGGATTCCCAACAAAACCTTGACAAAGCAAATCAGTAATGTATGAAGAGAATCACTCATCATGACCATATAGGATTCATTCTAAATATGCAAGATTCACTATACACAAATCAGTGTCATTAATGACATTAATAGAAAGATAAAAATCACATGATCATTTCAATAGTCACTGAAAAACCATTCTAAAACATTAGCACCCACATATAAAAACCCAATAAAGTCATAATAAAAGGAAATTTCTCAACATAATAGAGACCATAGATGATAGACTCACAGCCAGTATCATACTTAATGTGAAAAGCCCAAGGCATATTCCCTAAGATCAGGAACAATATAAGGATGTCCACTTTTACCGCTACTATTCAACATAGTATTGGAAGTCCTAGCCATAGCAATTAGGCAAGACAGGACATAAAAGGAAACCACATTGGAAAATAACAGGTGAAACTGAAACTATCACTATTCACAGGCAATATATACATAGAAAATCCAAATGATTATACGAAAGAAAAACTGGAAATGACAAATGAATACTAAAGCGGATTCAAAATCAGTTCACAAAAATGTATTGCATATCTGTATGTAAACAGTGAGCTAGATGAAACAGAAATTAAGAAATAACATTTATAGTCACACCAAAAGGATGAACTGCCTTGGAGTAAACTTAACAAAGGGAAGAACCTTTACACTGAAAACTATAAGACATTGTTAAATAAAAGAAGAAACAAATAAATGTGTTAGTGTATTGAAAGAATAAATTTAAAAAAATGGCCATATCACCCAAAATGGTTTACAGATTCAGGTCAATAACTATCAAAATCCCAATGACATTCTTCAGAGAAATAGCACAAAAAAACTATAAAACTTGTATGGAACCACAAAATATTCTGAATACCCAAACTGCTGACATAAGATGCACTCCTGGACCTCAGCCACAAAAATGTATTTGAGGATCTAATTCTGATGGCAAGGGAAACAAAAATAAATGGGACTACATCAAACTGAAAAGCTTTTGTACCTTGAAAGAAAACACCACAAGAACAAAGAGGCAACATGTGGGCTGGGAGAAGATCTTTATCTGCACACCATACAGCAGATAAGGGTTTAATTTCTAAAATATATGAAGACCTCAAACTCCCAACAAAAACAACCAAATCAAAAAATAAGCTAAAGACCAAAATAGACACTTGTCCAAAGAACACATTCAGGCAGCCTACAAGCACGTGAGAATATGCTTAACATCACTTACAATAAGGGAAATGCAAATCAGACCCACCATGAGATGATATCACCTCACCCCTGTGAGAATGGCTTATATCAAAAAGATCAGAAGAAACAAATGTTGACAAGGACAAGGAGAAAAAGAAACACCCACTTTTGGTGGAAATGTAAATAGGTGCAATCTGTATGGAAAATGGTATCAAGATTCCTCAAAAAACCCCAAAAAACGAAAAAAAAACAAAAAAAAACCAGTACAACCAGAACAAGTCCAAATACCCATCAGCAGATGACTGGATAAAGAATTTATGGAATATATACTCAATGGACTATTACTTAGCTATTTAGAAAGATGAAATAGTGCCTTTTGGGACAAAATGGATTTTTTTTTTCATCTTGCTTTTTATTTTTTTTACAGTTAATTGATTTTTTAATTATTTTTTAAATTTTATATATTTTTTTACATCATTTTTCATTTTTGCACAATGTATGCATTTTCATCTTGGTTATACTCCCCATACAATTCCCTGCCCCCCTGTGTTTTAATCCTACTCCCTACCCCCCCAACAGTATGTCTCTGGTTTATAGTTGCTTATTGATTTTGATTTTCACTTTATTATAATTAGTCTTTTTCCTGGTCCCTTATTTAGGTTTTCTAAATTCCTGCTATGAGGGAGACCATCTGGTATTTTTCTTTTTCTATCTGGCTTCTTTCTTTTTTTTTTTAAATTTTAATTTTATTTTTATATTCCCCATACAATTGCAACCCCCTTATTTTGACCCCAATCCCTCCTTTCCCTGACCCTCACCCCCCATAGAGTGTCTCTGGTTCATAGTTGTTTGTTGATTTTGATTTTTACTTTCTTATAGTTATTCTTTTTCCTGGTCTCTCATTTAAGTTTTCTAGATTCCTGCTATGAGTGAGACCATCCAGTATTTTTCTTTTTCTTTCTGGCTTATTTCCCTGAGCATGATCCCTTCCAGCTCCATCCATGTTGCTGCAAATTGCATGTGTTTATCTTTTTTGAATGCTGAGTAATAGTCCATGGTGTATATGTACCACATCTTCTTGATCCAGTCATCTGTTTCTGGGCATTTGGGTTGTTTCCAAAGCTTAGCTATTGTAAAAAGCTTAGCTATTGTAAAGCTATTGTAAATGTTTATAGTGCTTCTATAAACATAGGGGTGCGGGTGCTCTTTGGAATTGGTGTTTCTGTGTCCTTTGGGTAAATACCTAGGAGTGGAATTGCTGGATCATATGGAAGCTCTATGTTTAGTAGGTCAAGAAATCTCCACACAGCTCTCCATAGTGGTTGAACCCGTTTGCACTCCCACCAACAGTGCAGGAGAGTTCCTTTTTCTCCACAACCTCGCCAACATTTGTTGTTGCTAGTTTTTTTAATATGTGCCATTCTCACTGGTGTAAGATGATATCTCATTGTAGTTTTGATTTGCATTTCCCTGATTACAAGTGATGTTGAACATTTTTTCATATGTCTATTGGCCATTTGCATTTCCTCTTCAGAGAAGTTTCTTTTTAGCTCTTCTGCCCATTTTTTGACTGGATTATTTTCTTTGTTTTTGTTGAGTCTCATCAGCTCTTTGTAGATTTTTGTGATCAGTCCTTTATCATTAGTGTTTTGTGCAAAAATGTTCTCCCAGTTGGTGGAGTTTCTCTTTGTTTTTGTTATTGTCTCTTTTGCTGTGCAGAAGCTCTTTAATTTGATGTAATCCCAGCTGTTTATCTTTGCCTTCACTATCACTGCTTTGGGTGATGTGTCTGTAAAGGTGTCTTTGATGTGCTATCATGTAGTGTTTTGCCTATATTTCCTTCTATGTATTTTATGGTTTTAGGTCTTATGTCTAGTTTTTTAATCTCTTTCTGGCTTATTTCACTGATCATGATCCCTTCCAGTTCCATCCATATTGCTGCAAATGGCATGAGTTTATCTTTTTTGATTGCTGAGTAATATTCCAGTGTGTATATGAACCACATCTTCTTGATCCAGTCATCTATTTTTGGGCATTTGGGTTGTTTCCATGGCTTAGCTATTGTAAATAGTGCTGCTATAAACATAGGGGTGCAGGTGTCCTTTTGAATTAATGATTCTGTGTCCTTTGGTAAATACCTAGAAGTAGAATTGCTGGATCATATGGAAGCCCCATCTTTAGCAGGTTGAGGAATCTCCACACAGCTGTCCATAGTGTTTGGACCAGTTTGCACTCCCACCAACAGTGCAGGAGAGTTCCTTTTTCTCCACAACCTCGCCAACATTTGTTGTTGCTAGTTTTTTTAATATGTGCCATTCTCACTGCTATAAGATGGTATCTCATTGTAGTTTTGATTTGCATTTCCCTGATTACAAGTGATGTTGAACATTTTTTCATATGCCTGTGTTGGCCATTTGCATTTCTTCTTCAGAGAAGTTTCTTTTTAGCTCTTCTGCCCATTTTTTGACTGGATTATTTTCTTTGTTTCTGTTGAGTCTCATCAGCTCTTTGTAGATTTTTGTGATCAGTCCTTTATCGTTAGTGTTGTGTGCAAAAATGTTCTCCCAGTCGGTGGGGTTTCTGTTTGTTTTTGTTATTGTCTCTTTTGCTGTGCAGAAGCTCTTTAATTTGATGTCATCCCAGCTGTTTATCTTTGCCTTCACTATTACTGCTTTGGGTGTTGTGTGTGTAAAGATGTTACTGAGTTGTATGTCATGTAGTGTTTCACCTATATTTCCTTTTATGTATTTTATGGTTTCAGGTCATATGTCTAGTTCTTTAATCCATTTTGAGTTGGTTTTTGTGCATGGTGTGAGGTAGTAGTCAAGCTTCATTCTTTTGCATGTAGTGACCCAGTTTTCCCAGCACCATTTATTGAACAAACTTTCTTTTCTCCATTGTATATTCTTTGTTCATTTGTCAAAGATTAGTTGATCATAAATCTATGGGTTTTATTTCTGGATTTTCTATTCAGTTCCATTGGTCTATGTGTCTTTTCTTGTTCCAGTACCATGCAGTTTTGATAATTATGGCTTTGTAGTATAGTTTGAAGTCTGGGAGTGTGATGCCTCCATTCACTTCTTCTTTTTTTTTTTTTTCAGGAGAGCTTTGGCTATTCGGGATTTTTGGTGGCTCCATATGAATTTCATCAATATCTGTTCTATTTCTTTGAAGAATGTCATTGAAATTTTTATTGGAATAGCATTGAGTCTGTAAATTGCTTTTGGTAAGATGGGCATTTTGATAATGTTAATTCTTCCAACCCATGAGTAGGAGATGTCTTTCCATTTCTTTGTGTCTTCTTCTATTTCTTTTAACAGAGTTTTATAATTTTCTTTGTATAGGTCCTTTATCTCTTTTGTTAGGTTTATTCCCAAGTATTTCACTTTTTTTTTGTTTCAATAATAAAAGGGATGGTTTTCTTGATTTCTTCTTCAGATTTATTGTTTGTGTATAGGAAGGCTACTGATTTTTGTGTGTTGATTTTGTATCCTGCTACCAAAATGGATAGATCTTGAAGTGATTATGCTAAATGAAATAAGTCAAGAAAAAATTACCAGATGATTTCATTCACTTGTGGCATGTAAATAACCAAGAAAACAAACTGTCAAAGCACAACAGAAGTAATTCTTAATCTTTGAAGAATACACTGGTTACATCGGGGGTGGGGAAGGAGACAAAAAGAGGAGGGTAAGTTATAAGACTCAGGCATTGGAACTTTGGTGGAGGGTGGTAAGTAAAACATGTTCTCATGGAAGTGAGCCTGTTCTCCCAAAATTTTATAGTTATGTGATTGACAAAAAAATCGAGAACATTTTTTAAAATAAGAACAAAAATTTCCTGTAAAGGATTTTTAAAACAAGGAATATGTTCATTATTATAGAAATAGCCACATGGTATGATTTTAAAATTTAAAACTCCAAAGACTCCATAAGCACCTGAGAAGCAATTATTGGTAACTTACATGATTACTTGAAACTAGTATCTAATTGTTTACTGTAATTTGCATGTCAAAAACCTGGACAAAGGATGGGGGACATAAGGTCTGAAGCTCTAAGAGGATAAAAATTCTTAATATAGATACTGAAATCAGCTTTTTTTTTTAAGAGTTGATCAGATATGTAGAGGAGATCATGCCTAGTATTTTACCCTGCTTTTCTACCAACAAAGTATTTTTAATAATTACCTAAAATAGCCAAAGGTAATTAACTTTTAGATTTTATCTTCATAATTCAGATCTGTTCTATGTTGAATTTAATTTTTTTTTAATCTTGGGTCTTTAAATTGTAAGTTTTTACTATAATTTACAATAATAAACTTTAAGTGTCCATACAGTGCTTTACATAAGGTCCTTCTAGACAGTCCTATGTTAAATTTCGTTAAAGAAACCACAAGGAACCAGGCAGTCTCATTTATAGGTTAATTGTATATCTAAAGAAAAAAAAAAGATGGTAGAATGTTGAAATCAGTCAGCATTATAAGCTCAATTTTCCATTGCTCACATTTTCTATTCTTCTCTGACTCTTGGAAAATTAAGGCTTTCATTTACTTTTAAAAGACACAGTGCGTACCCTTTAGTAGTTTGCTGTTTCCTCTTTTCCATGTTTTCTATTCTTTCATTGTCCCATCTATCCTTTGTACTTCATACTAAAGGGAGAGGACTTAAAAACAAAAGAGGAAAATCATTAACTATGTTTATGGCCTGTAGAGCTCCATGACCTATGGAAATCGATCATTTCATATCTTAAGAATTTATTTCTCAGGGTTTTTAAAAGGTTTGAAATACTTGTGAATTGGAGCCATCTGGTCAAACTGCCGAAGTAGGGCATTTCCCCCTTGCTGGGTACAGCATAGACTGTCACAACTGGTTATTTATGGAAATAATGTACATTTTAAAATGTTTAAGAAGGGAGGGGAAAGGAGAGGAAGGTGATAAGGTATTGGCATTGGGACTTTGGTCAGGGGTGAGTGAGGTATGTGCACCTGTGGAGGTGTGAAGTTGTACTCTTAAAAGCATATCGCTGTGTAAATGATTGGCAAATGAGTAAAATTTGAGGAAAAGGGAAATATGTATAAAAGTTCAAAATTAGCTTTATTAGGGGATCAAATTAAAAAATAAAAAAGGTACCTTGGAAACATAAAGCACCATCAAAATATAAATATTTTTAAGACAGAATACCTTAACACATGCTGTCCAGCATTGTTATGTGCTAGTGATTGAGTCAGATACATTAAAAAAAATTATTTCACATTTGTTCCAGATCTACTAAACATATTAATACAAAGCAGGTTCTAATATAAGTAATTCTGGGGGGAAAAAAACCACCTGAAATAAAGTTAAAAAACTTAACTGACTTATGAAATTAATAAGTTAGGAAGTAGAAATCCTACAAATATTTCTAATACTCTGACTACAGATGGCCCTCTTGGGGGAAACAAATGATGGAGTATTGATAGAATGTCAGAATCATGGTACAATTCAGAGATTTATTCTTTAAACAAAAATGAAATATATCTAAAGCAATTTGTGTTAAATAGAAGAAAATAGAAAATCTTTGTGACCTAGGTAGGCTCAGTTCTCCGTTGCTATCTGTTTTGGCCTTATCTTTACCCTTCGTACTCTTTATTTATTTATTTTAAAAATTTATTTATGCATAGAAGAACTGGGGTACAGTCCAAAGATGCAGAGGGTGAGAGGATTCACCAGAGACGGAGTGGGGAACAGAACAGGCGGATTGATTAAAATACACTGCTGAGGGGAGAAGTGGGCCAGTCAGGAGAGGTCTGCTGCGTCATGTAGGTAGCTCCCTGGCTGGGGATTGAACTCTTACTGCAGTGGCTGCACATAGCTTCATAGGTTGCATCTTAACCCCTTGGGTCAGGGAGGGTCAGGGAGGCTCCCCTTCTAACTCTTTAATTCTGAATTTCAATTCTGAATTACTTACGATTTTTTTTAAGATTTTTTTTTTTTATTTATGCACAGAAGAGCTGAGGTGCAGGCAGTGAGAAGATTCACCAGAGACAATGAGTGTGGAGCAGAACAGGCATATCTGGGTACCTCTACTTAAAAGACCTACTCTACCCTCTGAATTTATACACGATGTCTAATTAGCTTTTTTTACTTCCCCGATAACCAAATTTGTGTTTTAAAAGGTTAGAAGTGGAAGTTGGAAAGCAAGTGTCAAAGTTGTGGAGTTGACCTGAATTACCAGGTTAAGGAGTTGGGATTTTATTTACTCTTTAGGAGTAAAAAGAGTTATACTTTATAAAGATTATTGGATGATCACCATGTTTGAACCTCTTTGAGTTGGATTAGAGGTTGAGAACGAAATATTGTCAGATTTTGAGGCAGAGTTAATAGAAACAGAATTAGATCTGAGGAAAAGCAGAGCACACTTTCATTCATTCAGAAAATATAGAGAATATTTTGTAAATCAATACGAAAGACAACTCTAGAGAAGTGAGTGTCAAACAGATATTCACAAATAGATACAGAAAATAATTTGAAAAATTTAATGCCCACTCTTTCCAAAGCAAACAAAGAAAGAGCAAAGAACTTTCTTCAGCCTGATGAAGGTCAACTGCAACAAAATCCTATAGCTAATATACTTAATGGTGATAGACTGAATGCTTTCTGCCTTAAGATCAGGAACAAGGCAAAGATTTTCTCTCTTGTCACTTCTATTCAGCATTGTACTAAAGGTACCAGTCAGTGTAATAAGGCAAGAACAAAAAGATGTATACCTTGAAAAAGAAAAGCTCATCATTTATACATGTGATCATGAATGTAGAAAATCCTGTGGAATCTACAAAACAACTGTAACTAACGTGACTTTAGCAGGGTCACAAGACACAGACTCAAAGCAATATATAAGTATCATGTGTGTGATTTGTAATTATATAAGTAATGAACAGGAATAAAGTAATGCCATTACAATACTATTTATAATAGTTTCAAAAAGGGCCTCCCCTGGTGGCGCACGTGGTTGAGCGCAGCGCTGTGAAGCTGTCCGCAGCCTCTGCAGTGCGTGTTCAATCCAGGTCCAGCCGGCGAGAATCCCACATGGCATGGCAGACTTCTCCTGTCTTGCCTGCTGTTCCCCTCAGCAGTGCATTTCCTCAGTCTGCCTGTTCTGTTCCCCACTCTGTCTCAGGTGAATCCTCTCACCCTCCCACGCATCTGGCCTGTACCCCGGTTCTTATATGCATGAATCTATAATAAAATCTAAAAAAATAAAAATAAAAAAATAATAAATTTTTTTAAAAGTTTCAAAAATTTCTAGACAGAAATTTAACAAACATTAAACAAGACATATACACTGAGTCTGGCAAGATGACAGTAGAGTAGATTCCAAACTTCTAGACTTTTGTATTCCAAAACTTAACATTTTGTTCCCATTTTTAATTTTTTCTCATTCTTTATAATTTATGCTTCACCTGAGTAATTATTATAGTTTTAATTTTACTAGTTTTAATCATCGTGCTTGCTCTTCAAGTGATTGATCCTCTGAGATCTTTAAGTATGTTTACCTTTTCCAGTGAGATTTTTCCTTCATGTTTTCTTGTTTTTAGTCAGTGCCATTTCTTTTTCACTTTAGAAAACTCCCTTGACATTCCTTGTAAATAAGTTTTAGTAGTGATGAACTTCTTTAGCTTTTGCTTGTCTGGGAAACTCATTTCTGAAAGAACCTTTCTGGGTAAATAATTCTTTTTTTTAAAGATCTATTTATTTATTTATACAAGCACAGGGTACAGTCAGAAGCGGGGAGGGTGAGAGAATTCACCAGAGCCAGAGCGGGGAGCAGAACAGGCAGAAGGACTGAAGTACACTGCTGAGGGGAGCAGCGGGCGGGCAGCAGGAGAGGTCTGCACGCCATGTGGGACCCTCGCTGGTGGCAGGGGATTGAACTGGTGCTGCGGAGGCTGCGGGCTGCTTCGCAGCCCAGCGCTCAACAGCTGCGCCACCAGGGGAGGCCCTGGGTAAAGAATTCTTGTCTGGAAGTCCTTTCCTTTCCGCACTTTCAGTTTACTGTGCTACTCTGCAGAGTTTCTGTTGAAAAAAATTCTCACAGTTTTTTTTCTTGCTTCTTTTTAAAGGCCTCTGCGTGACTTTTAATAACAGTTGTGCATCCCTTAACAATGTTTCAGTCAATGATGGACCCAACAATGGATGTGAGCATGATCCTAATAGGCCATAAGACATAGCCTAGGTGTGCGATTGGTAATATGTAGATTAGTATAAGTGCACTCTGTGATGCCCTTAGGATAAAATCAACTATTTCTCAGAATATATCAATGACATTCAGCAATGCACGTGTATAGTGTGTCTTTGTGTGGATTTATTTGGATGGTGTTTTTTGGGCTTATATCCCTGAATGTCTATTTCCTTTTCTTCTTTTGGGCAGCAATGGTGGTTCCTGTGTGTTCATACCAGGGTGCTAGCGGAATTGGACTGAAAGTGATGATCGGTCTTGTAGCTATTAGAAAGGGATGAAGGAGTGGATATGAGGAGTAGGACTGTACACAAGAAGAAAAAGAGACTGGAAAACAAACTGAGAGTAGTAATAGACAACTGGTGGGCGGAGGGGTGTGAATTTTGAAGAAAGGGGAGTTAAGTTAGGGAGTGATGTCTTATAGGGAGAAAAGACCTAAACAAAGTTCCTGGGTGAAGAAAAAGGTGAAAATGAAGGACAAAGGAAACAGAATAGAAATGGGGGTGGGTAAGGAGTTTGTGTTGGGGTTTTTTGGGGTAACTTTGGTTTATAACGTACAATGTTCATACTTCAAATCCCATCCTTACACCCCCACCCATGGAAGTTAATCATGTACCTGTTAGGTCTCTACTTTTATATCTATCATGCTTTAAAAGACTTTTCTGATACTAGATAATGAAATGACTGTTTTGGGGCCTGGGAATACTATTACCATTAATTTATGTCTAGAAATTGTTGAGTGTTCCCAGACTTAAAAAATAGCATAGCAAATGGGAACATTCTACTTTCAGATAGTAGGGACAACCTATAAGGTGACAGCCCCTTATAAAAGTCTCCCCAGAAACACATTGGTGGTTTTACGGAAAAAGATACTTTGCCAATTATGAAAAGTAGTATTTGTTATAACCATGAGTGATGAATAGGTAGAATTTTAGCAAGGAGTGCTCTGAAGAGAGCATCATGGACAGATGGTACTTTTAGGAGGAAAAAAAGCATGCAAAAATGGGAAAACACAGGGCATATGTGTTAGAAAATAGGGTGTGTGTGTGTGTGTATGTATGTGTGTGTACATACGCACATGAGGAAATGGTAGGAAATAAAATTGGAGAGAGGGAGGGTCAAATTTGGTAAGCGCTAGGACTGTGTCAGTAGAGAAATCATAGAGCCTACACTGTCCACTAGTCATATATAGCTAGTGGGTACTCGAAATGTGTTTGGTCTAAATTGAGATGTACTATAAATTTAAAATACACACCAGATTTCTAAGAGTTAGTACCAAAAAGAATATATTGGGTTGTCAGAAAAGTCATGACATATGTGTTCTATGTTTTTCAAACAAAAATGTGTCATGACTTTTCTGATAGCCGAATAAAACATTTTATTAAAATTTTTATATTGATGTCATATATTTATATTTTAGATATATTGGGTTAAATAAAATATATTTAATTAAAATTTAAAATAAATAAATTGAATATATACATTAAAATACATTAAATTAAAATATATTAAAATTAATTTTACCCATTTCTTTTTATTTTAATATGACTAATAGAAAATTAACAATTATATATGTGGCACAGATTATATTTCTGCTATACAGTGTTGGTATAGATAGAAGTAATACAATCAGTTTTTGCTAGTTCCTCTACTATGTGACATATTTTTTCTAAATCTTGTAATAAACTAAGGTTATTAATCCTCATAGAAAACTATATGAAGTAGGTGGTATTATTGCCCTCCTTTTTCAACTAACTCAAGTGCACACACAATGAGGTTAATCAGCACACTTGAAAATCACTCCACTAATAAGTAGGAAGCCAGGATTCAGTATCTTTTGGCTTCATGGTTTTCCTGACACTGTGGCATGATGTCATTGGCCTTTAAAGGTGGTTCAGCTATAGGACGACATGATCGGAATAATGCTTTAGTAGATTGGTAATAAATATAAATAGGGGGAAGAGACTTCATTTTAGCTCTCTACTTTTTGTTTTGTTACTTTTTTGCAGGAGAAAAATGCCTCGTTTAAAGTCAGCTTTTGAATTGCAGCTTTTGGAAGTATATCCTTTGTGTTAACTGCTTCTCAAAATATTTGTCTTATCTTTATAGATTTGATAATGGGCTGCATTAAAAGTAAAGAGAATAAAAGTCCAACCATTAAATACAGAACTGAAAACACTCCAGAACAGACACTCAGTACAAGTGTCAGCCATTATGGAGCAGAACACACTGCAGTGGCACCGTCATCTTCAACTAAGGGAACATCTGTTAATTTTAACAATATTTCCATGACACCATTTGGAGGATCCTCTGTGGTGACACCTTTTGGAGGAGCATCTTCCTCCTTCTCAGTGGTGCCAACTTCATATCCTGCTGGTTTAACAGGTGAGATTTAAACAGACAATTCTGTTGTTGGTTTGACACTGTGACCTTAGGCGTTACATACATAAGATTTGCCTGCTATAAGAAAAGAAATTACGGGGGGACTTTTAAAAGAATTTTATGTGAAAATTAAAGTCTCTCTGTATGCACGGCTATTGTTCTTGGAAATTCGCTGATCTGGTAAGGCTGTGTTCTGGTTTAACACCATTAGTTATTTCATTAATTAATTTTCAAATAATTATTGAGAGCCAACTACATGACAGGCACTGGGGATAACAGATTTACAACCATACTCCCCTCCCTCAAGAATGTAAACAACTTCTTAGAATTATAAAGTACTGTCCACTACTAAAGTATTATCATAGTTGCATAATAAATGTTAATTAAATGAGAATGCTAATGATAAAATAAATTATGTATTTTCTGATTTAAAAAAGTGCTGAGACTCAGAAATGAGTTTAAATGATTTTTGTGCACAATCACAGGTAATAAGCAGAGGAGTCCAGATTTAATCTCCTATTCCAGAACTCCATTTATTACATTTTGATATCCTTTCAAAGAACAGCAGGAAGTGACAACTGACAAACTGCCGTGCAACCAGAAATGCTCTTAAAAATTGGGGACTTTAAAAGAGGGAGAATTCTTTTGTGAAAGGTCACACACAACAGAATGTTTTTTCCTTGAGTAGCAAAACATCACTGACTTAAAAACATAGAATGAGATCTAGGATTCCTCAAGTCAGCAAGACCTCAGAGTTTCTTTGATCTCTCTCCTCTAGCTCCTGGAATGTCCACTTTCTCCTAAAGATTGGCAAAATAGTTGTCAGCCTCAAATTGACACGTTGATGTGAAGGTCAAAAAGGAATCTCTTCCAAAAGCATGGACTCTAAATTTGTCCCTTCAGTCTGTTCAGAATCTTCCCAATCAAAGTGGCTAAAAGAATGCCATACACTATTCATTTGGAAAGTTACAGGCTTCAAAGTTGTGGACATTCCCAGTTTCAGTCACTAACTCTTGAATACGTCAGTAATAGATGGCCATTATAGTATATCTCACTCATCAGCAAAAGTTTAAATTATTTTCAGGAGTCTATATTTAGGAAAGACAGTAATCCAAAAATGATTAAAATAAATGGGATACTTAAACACATACTTTAGTTACCTAAAGCAGTTTGCTTATGTGAAATAGTCTGTTCATGAATATTCATTTATTGACAAATATGGAGTGTCTTTGTGCCAGGTATAGTGAGTTTTAAGCAAGACAAGTTTCTGCCCTAATGGAATTTACCTTACAATGAGAATTGGGCAATAGTGAATAAACAACTAAACAGGATAACTAAAAGTTATTAGATGCTATGAAGGGACTAATCAATAGAAAAGGCCCATTAGATTATCAAGGAAAACAAACTTAAGGAGAAATCAATCCTGAGGTTGACTATTGAGAATGTGCACAGAGCTGAGAAAAGAGATATCCCGGAAAAAAGAACAACAAATGCCAAGTTTAAAAGGTACAGATGGACTTAGCTGTTTGAGCACCAATTCAATATGGACAGAGGGTATAATTATATGGTATAGGGTTGGAGAGTCAGGGTTACTCAGGATTTTGTAGACTAGTAAGAAGTTTAGATTTTATTCAAAGCAAAATGAAGTCACTAAAGAAATTTAACTAAAGGATTTATATAACTGAATTTCCATTTTCAAAACACTCATTCTGCAGCTGTGTGGAGAGTGAAAGATGTATAGGGAAAGATGTATAGAAGCTGGTTAAGACATCCCTACTCTCAATAGTCTCAGCAGTCCCAGTAAGAAAAAAAAACAAGTTTTGGGATCAAGGTGGCAGCCATGAAAATGGAAAAGAAAGTAGATAAGGTATTTCAGAGATGGAACTAACCATGCCTGTAATGGGTTTGACCTGAATATCTGATTGGTTAGTAGTACCACTTGCTTAATAGGGAAAATTTTATTAATACAGGTTAGGGGAGGAAAATCAACACCTTTGTTTTATACCTAATAAGTTCTTATTGGACATTCAAGTAGAGATGTCAGATAGGCAATTAATAAATGATTGGGTGTCAAGAGAGAAACCAAATAAATGAGATAATCTGTTCTATTCTTTTTTTAGTTTACAGATAATAGTTTGACTGTTTAATGTTCTAAAATCTTAAGCATCTACACATAATACCATATGTGACAGTTATTTTTGGAACTTAAAATTCATATCAGTCATACCATTTAATTTCTAAGAAAAATATGCTGGCTTTTTATCTATAAGTGTTAAGTATAACCATCTTTTTAAAACCATAGTTATTTCTGTTAGTAAGTAGTCTTAAGGGTGAAAATGTCGATCCATTAAGAAATTAAGACAGTCAGTACCAATAGTTTATGGTACTCATTAGCACTTTTTCTGGCAAAGAGTTGATTTGAACTTTACTGGTTTCAAGCCAGAGATGTTGCTATAATGAGTCAAAATATAAGTTGTTTATCTTACTCTATAGCATTTCAGAATATAATAGAGTACAGCAGTTTCGTGAAAAGTCTTAAGAGAACATGTTACTAATTTGAAAAATCTAGCTGCTCAAGTCTCTAACTTTTAAAAACAGATTCTGGAGACTAGGAAGAAAGTATGCTTAAGCTTTGCTAGCAGTGTAAGTTTTCTTTTGTTAATTATTCTATGGAATTTACCTTAGACTTTTTTCCTCCAATAGGTGGTGTTACTATATTTGTGGCCTTATATGATTATGAAGCTAGAACTACAGAAGACCTTTCATTTAAGAAGGGTGAAAGATTTCAAATAATTAACAATACGTAAGTGTTGTGGATGTTTTGTGAAGCAGAAATATTAATAAAAACCTTGTCTTTACATTGAAACCACTGAGCTAGTTGGTGAATTGGAGATAAGATTGGTGGAACATGGGTCACTGCCCACTTAGTTGGACATGCATTTGGTTTCTTTAGACACATGGCATAATACTGCTGCTGTAGCCAGAAGTTATTCTACAGATTGTGCTGCTGTGGTTCTACCATAAACAGTAGAGATTTAAGAATGATGATTGAGGGAATATATGCAAGTAAGTACATTACTTAAAAAAAAATTTATAAGAGAGTGCTAAGTTCCTATTCATCTTAGTACCAGTTGATTTAAAGATCTTTTTCTCTTAAGAAAAAAAAAACACTAAATAAAAGGAAAAAGACTAGGTGAGGAACCCCTTTGGTCCCAAACTGACGAAATTAAGTTGCTTTTTCCTTATGCAACTCTTAGATTTTTTTTCCTTTAGTTGCCCACCATAGAAAATTGTGTTTATTATGGAAAACAGATACCATAAATTCCTTAGCATGCATAACACCATTTTATAACTCCTCAAAATATACATTTATGATCTCTTTCTTTGTTTCCTTCCATCCTTGTACCCATTTGTTACCAATTACTGTCCCATGAAATATGTTCATATCTTTCTCCTTTAAAACCCCTCAGTAGCTACCGTTTGCCTTCAAGATAAAAGAAAGACAATAATAAGCATTGTTCATTGAGTTTCTTCCCCTTTCACTTAATCCACTACACAGCCATATTGAATTACTTGCACTTTTCTGAATACTCTAGGGTTTCTCACCTACTCCAAGCGTTCACACAGACTATTTCTTCTTTCTGAATTGTAATCTCTTGTTTCTCCATTTTCCCCCTTTATCTGGTTAACTCTACTCATCCTTCAAAGTATATTTCCTATGTCTTTTCTCAGAGAAGCCTTTCTTGACATTCTTCTTTTCCCACCTAGCCTACTTCGTCTCTCCTGCTGGATTAGGAGTCTCTCTTACATGTAGGACCTGTGCAAACCTCAGTCATAGCTGCTCTCATAGTTTTGAATTACAATTTATCACCTACTTATCATTCTTTTAGACCAGTATTTCTCAGCCTGAGGAAGAATTGCCCACAGGACATTTGGCAATGTCTGGAGACATTTTTGGCTATTACACTCAGAGTACTGAGACTTTCCTCCAGTAGGTAGAGAAATCAGGAATATTGCTGAATATCCTATAATGCACAGGACATCCCTCTCCCCTACCCACCACATACTAACAAAGAATTATCTAGCCCAAAGTCTGCATAGTGCCAAGGTTGAGAATTCCTGCTTTAGACTGAGTTTCTAGAGGTTTAGGACTATCTTTTTACCTTTGTTTCCAGCACATGCTGTCATGCAATGTTTTTAAAATGCAATGTATATCTGAAAATACTTAACATACTAGGAAACTGCAGACAACCAAGTATATGAGTTCGTGAATATTTGAATTACTAAAGGATTTTTCCATTTCATTTTCTAGAAAGCGTATTCACTTCAAGTGTTTATAAAATTTTAATTTAGGCAAACAACTTTCAATACTTACCTTTGGTAAAGGAAAATATACATTAAATCTTTAGTAGTAGAACCCATATATATCTTCCTTATTAGAAAGACTGATAACACTCACTTCTTTCACACTTTCTTGTTAATTTTTGAAAAGTCAATGCTATGTGTTACATACTAAGAGTCCTCATGTTCTAAATTAATTTTAGTCTTATTTTATTGTTATTGCCAGTTGCTAATATATTGGCTACAAATGCTATAGGAGTTCTAGTTCCTGAATATTTTCTAAAATGACTAAAGAGGAACATTTAATTTTATATACTACTAACAGAGAAAAGCGTTTGGCACTAAAGAATGAACTACAACATAGATGATTCCTTAAAAAAATGTTTTAATCATTTTCAGTGAGGTAACAGTGGTTTATAACACTGTGTATGATTTATTTAATATAGTTCAGATGTTTTATTTAATATAGTTTATTGTCTTAGGTGGAAAGAGTTAAATTTAAAAAAGTGTAATTGATTTTTTGATTTGGAGCAGAAATCTGCAATTGTGCTTTGTCTAAGCTGTATTCCCTAATTCATGTAACTTATTTTTAAATACTATTGAGTTTAATTCTTTATCAAGTGACTGCATAAAGAAAGAAATGGAAGTAATATCTTTTGTCTGCTTCAGGAATAATACTGCAATAGATCATATCTTGAGCAATAGTCTACCTTGTGGTAATTGTTGTTTTGTGTTTCAGGGAAGGAGACTGGTGGGAAGCAAGATCAATTGCTACAGGAAAGAATGGCTATATCCCTAGCAATTATGTAGCCCCTGCAGATTCCATTCAGGCAGAAGAGTATGGCACAACTTCATATTTTATTAATTATTTTGATTTTTAAAATGTTTTAATGCATTCTACATAGCCACAACTTTATACACACACATTTACTTACCAATCTTAATATAGCTAATGTATCATATTAATAGATATTACTTGAAAATTAATAATTAATGCCTTAGTATTTGCATATAATAGGATCATAAGTGAATCTTTATTAATAATATTGTTTAATGCTTATTCTCCTTTATTTATTTTTTCCTTGTTTTTAATCTCCTTTATTTTAAAAGCTTCTAATAACCTTTTTATATTCTGCAGTCTCTTTCACTTTAAAAATTTACCCTTAATTAATAGCATTATATCTGTGTTAATATCCTGTCTTAGGTACTTGCTCTGTAGTTATGTAGGAAAGTATCATTGTCTTTTAGGAAGTACACACTGAAGTATTTTGGGGTAATGATTCAGCATCTTTGCATGTTGCTCTCAATCACTTCAAGAGAAAGTGCACCCACACACTCACATGGAGGGAAAGAGAAAATAGGACAAAGTAAAATGTTAACAATTAGAAGACCTGGATGGATGGTATATGGGAGTTCTATGTATTGTTGTTGCAACTTTAAAAAATTTAAGTTCATTTTTAACTTTGTGTGACATATTACTCCTAGTTCAAAGCAAATTTAACTGGGATCCATAAATATTTCTAAATGATTTTTCATTTTCCTATCATAATACTTAGCATAGTGCCTTGCATATGGTTGGTGTGCTCTGTTGATGCCTGTTTGCTTTTTTTAATGATAAGTAATTAGTCTCCATTAACTGTTCTGCTTTGGCATTCATTATTTTCTGTTTTGTTCTTTTGTCTTCCACACTAATTTGTAATCTCCACAGCAGGATTTTTTTTAAGATTTATTTATTTATGCATGCAAGAACTGGGGTACAGGCCAGAAATGCAAAGGGTGAGAGGATTCACCAGAGATAGAGTGGGGAGCAGAACAGGCAGACTGACTGAAATACACTGCTGAGGCGAGTGGCGGGTGAGGCAGGAGAGGTCTGCTGCACCCATGTGGGTTTCTCCCTGGATAGCAGGGATCGAACTCATGCTGCAGAAGCTGGGGATTGCCCCATAGTGAGGTGCCCAACCCCTTGCGCCACCAGGGAGGCCCACAGGATTGTTTTTTATTCATGAAACTGTATTAAATTAAACCCACTGTAATTTAGAGTTCCCAGTAGTTTGAACATGGTTTACTTAAATCTTAGGGAATACAGATGATCATACTGTTGCCACAGAACAACTAGGTTCTTCCGACTATAATTGTATAGTTCCACCTGTTACTGATAGAAAGGCTCTGTCTATTGCCTTTCCTTCTCCAATATACTGTTCCTGTGATTACCAGATGTAGTTTAATAAGAGACATGTTGAGGGCCTCCCTGGTTGTGCAAGGGGTTGAGCACCGCAGTATGAAGCAATCCTCAGAGTCAGCTGCATGAGTTTGATACCCGGCCGGCCAGGGAACAGGCGGCCAGGGAGCAGCCCACCTGGTGAAGCGGATCTTTCCTGCTTTGCCCGCTGCTCCCTCAGCAATGTGTTTTAGTCAGAGTGTCTGTTCTGTTCCCCACTCTGTCTCTAGTGAATCCTCTCACCCCCTGCATTGCTGGCCTGTAGCCCAGCTCTTGTATGCATGAATGGGTGAATCTTTAAAAAAAAAAAAAAAGAGAGAGAGACATGTTGAGTAGTTAATACATGGAAATACTGTGACAGTTTATTCTGACAATAATATTGTAATGCTCCTATTTAATAAGTAAAAAATTTCATTTTTTTCCCTAGGTGGTATTTCGGCAAAATGGGGAGAAAAGATGCTGAAAGATTACTTCTGAATCCTGGGAATCAACGAGGTATTTTCTTAGTAAGAGAGAGTGAAACTACTAAAGGTATGAGTTTTGTTATGTAAATATAAGAACAGTAATTTCCTCCAGCAGTATTTTGGGACAGATCTAGTAAAAGTACTCATTTGTCCCCCTTTCCCACCCTCCCCTCCAGGTGCTTATTCCCTCTCTATTCGTGACTGGGATGAGATAAGGGGCGACAATGTGAAACACTATAAAATTAGGAAACTTGACAATGGTGGATACTATATTACAACCAGAGCACAATTTGAAACTCTGCAGAAATTGGTAAAACACTATACAGGTATGTGAATATTTCAAAAGTAAAAACTATTTTATGGGGATAGAATCTATGTTTTTATATCTCTTTAGGTTTATCATGCTACTTTATGCACAGTATGTGCTCAACAAATGTCTGTTGTATTCTAGTTTTAGAATGAGGAATAGGTAATACTTGTTACCTGAATTGAGGTCTTGAATAGGGTATAGTTTTAGGAGTCCTTACATCAAAGTGGTGTAGTGTTTACAGTGGAATTCAATTTATAATTACTAAATAACAAGATAGATTGTGAAAATAAATTTTAAAAATATAAAAATAAATATTTTGGTTCACTTACTAAAGAACTAAAACTAAACACTTACAAAGGTATATCAGATGTCCTTTTGGGTTGCCTTTCTCTTCATGGGCTATAACACCTAAGACTTCCTGAGGTATAAATCCAATGAAATTTGATTTATAGATGCATTTTTCTTTGCTTGGAAAATTAGCCTGTTACAACTATTTCTATTCCTCACTTTTTCTAGGACCATTGAAAAGTATTCACTATTTGAGTCTTATGTCTCAATACACAATTTTTTCTTCAGTGGCAGCCATCTACAAAATGTGTTTATTAAGTCAACCATCAGTCTTGACATTGATCAGATGTGTAACCAAACAGTAGCATTATTTGTAATTGTACTTGTTAGAATGTGGCTTTTTGTGGTCACTTGTGGAAAATGGGAGGGAGCATTGTCTTATTGGCAATAAGAAAGATTATTTAAGCAGGATTCACAAGTCAGGCCATTATGAATGTGATAATCCCTTTTCTGTCTCCCTTATTTAAAAATCAACCCCCTGAATGAAGATGTTTTTCCTTAATTTTGGATATGCCTTTTGTATTAGAGTTTATTAGAAATGACAATTTATGGTAGTATTTTCTTAGGGTAAAAAAAAAAAGCATGTTGATAAAAGCAGAACTTCGGAGACAGCCACACCTAGGGTTTGAATCCCATCTCCATTACTTACTGTCTGAGCTTAAAAAAGTAGTTTCAAGTTTTCCAAGACTTACTTATGAGAGATTTGTGAAGGGTTGAGTTAGCATAGTAGCTAGTACATAATATTCAATAAATAGTAACTTTTAAAATGTATTTAGCATAATGTTTCACTTGTATGTTTTGCTTCTTGTTATACAACTGCCTTTTTGTTTGTACTTTTAGGGTAAAACTTTTAGGATAGAACATTATGTTTTATTTTAAGACATTGGTACACTATATATACCATAATTTTTGTAAATGATTCATTTTACAGTGTAGTTTATTTATTTGTCTAGAACATGCTGATGGTTTATGCCATAAGTTAACAACTGTGTGTCCAACTGTGAAACCCCAGACACAAGGTTTAGCAAAAGATGCTTGGGAAATCCCTCGAGAATCTTTGCGACTAGAGGTTAAACTAGGACAAGGATGTTTTGGTGAAGTATGGATGGGTAAGAAATCTAAACTTTTGTTTTATGTCATTATTTAGCCATAGTTTAAAATCATACAGTGTATGATAAAATATGTTGAAATATTTAAGGTAACATCTCAGTGGAGTTTGGTGTAAAAACCTCTAAATATAAATTAAAATAGTAAAATGTGCTATTTCTCTAGGAACATGGAATGGAACTACAAAAGTAGCCATCAAAACACTAAAACCAGGTACAATGATGCCAGAGGCTTTTCTTCAAGAGGCTCAGATAATGAAAAAACTAAGACATGATAAACTTGTTCCACTATATGCTGTTGTTTCTGAAGAGCCAATTTACATTGTCACTGAATTTATGTCAAAAGGTATGTATTAGTTATTCTTAAGGGATTCACATTGATAATTTTCAAAAAACTACCTCATTTCTATGTTTATGCGTATAGATTTTTTGTTGTGTAGTGTTTTCTAATATAAGATATTTATGTAGACATTTGAAAAGAGAAAATACAACAATTGTTTAATGGAATAGTTCATGATTAGCTCTTATTCCAAAGGATAGTATAAAACTTAAAGGAAAATTAGGCAAGGGATGGGGTTAAAGCACAGCACTGTTGAAGTTATCTGCAGCCTCTGCAGCACACATTCCATTCCCAGCCGGCCAGGGAGATACCTACATGGCGCAGCAGACCTCTCCTGTCTCGCCCCCTACTCCCCTCAGCACTGTATTTCAGTCAGTCTGCCTGTTCTGTTCCCCACTCTGCCTCTGGCAAATCCTCTCACTACCCACAGCTCTGGCCTGTATCCCAGTTCTTGCATGCATAAATAAATAAATATTAAAAAAAAAAGAAAAGAAAATTAGGCAAGGTGAATTTATTTTGAAAGTAAATAGTCTCTTATTCTCTTTGACTAAAGGAAGTTGACGAGCTCAGAAAGTTAAAAAGAAAAAAATATTTATACAGATATTTAAAACAATTCAATGAGAAAGATATTTATATCTTTAGTATTAAAACAAATATCTGATAAAGTTAAAGAAAGTAATTTTTAACTCATTTCAATATAAACATACTCAGGGACCTCTAAAAACTTCGTATTTTCCCCACTGATGTCTGGAATTTTTCTTTCTCCCAAACCCCAGACCTGAAGGTGGGATCTTTAGTAACAGGGTTAGTTTGGACCAGGATAAAAAGGAAGGATGGTTGTTACACTGCCCTCTTTTCCCTTTGCAAATGATACCTTAGGGGAGGAACCAGTAAGTCACCAAATACACTGACAAGCCCATATTTTTATCCTCCTAATTTTTATAATCGCTTTTACTTTTTTTTTTAAGATTTATTTATTTATGCATTCAAGAACTGGGGTACAGGCCAGAGGTGCAGGGGGTGAGAGGATTCACCAGAGACCGAGTGGGGAGTAGAACAGGCAGGATGACTGAAATACACTGCAGAGGGGAGCAGCAGGTGAGACAGGAGAGGTCTGCTGCGCCATGTGGGTCACCTCCCTGGCCAGGGATGATCAAACTTGTGCTACAGTAGTTGTGGATAGCTTCATAATGCTGACACTTAACCCCTTGCACCACCAGGGAGGTGGCGCAAATATATGATATTTGTTTTAATACTAACACCCTAATTGCTTTTACTCTTTGTAGTTCATGCATCCATGGTTAAAAGGGAAGATTTATGTCTCTGTCCAGGCATCCATCTTGACCAAAGATATAGTTCCACCTAGTGGTGACACGGCCAATTACACAGCACACATTGGCTATAGAAAAATTTTACCCCCAGAAGGAACAGAAAAACCGAAAGTTAATAAGTAACATAGCCTATCAATTGACAGTCAGAATATACCTAAAACCCAAAAGCACACAGCACCTACTGCAAACAACTACCTATATCCCATTTCAGAGTGCAGAACAATAAAGGGAAGAGAAAAAAGGAGAAAGTTTAAATCAAGATATGAGGAAATAAGTATATAATGAAAGTAAAGTAATGATCCATTTAGCTTGTTCATTGATTCCAAGAATTATTTAAGTGGGAATACATGGTAGAAGTCTGTGTGGTCAGATGAGGATTAGGATTACTTCTAGATGGAAGATGTTTAATACAAGATCATAGATGTGCCTTCTAGTTTTAAAATTCTGTAATTCCCCTTCTTAGTATTCAGATACCTAGCAATTGACCCTTTCTAATACATCCAAATTCATTTCCTCTTGTGCTTCTATATAAATCCACTTTCCTGGCCAGATGAATCTCTTGTTTGCATGGTTTTGTTGTTTTTTTGTTTTTTTGTTTTTCATATTTTTGGAATTTTTCTCTGTCTCTGACCAGCCCATTAGCTATACCTCATTCAGATGATACTTAAGTGTTAGGAGCCTTCCGTTAAAAAAATCCCAGTCTCATTATATCCTCAAATCTTTATAATCAGAATACTCTAAGATAATAACCAAAATGTATTAAATGCTTATAGTAACTACAAGACATTCTACTAATTATATAATGTGTTAAAGAAGAAATAAAGCCTCCCAAATAATTTACATTAAATTTGGGAAGAAATGACCTACCTTCTGATTAGTTACTTTTAAAGTAAATAGCTCATTATGAACAAACAAGCTATAAACCAAAGCAAAATGAATTTCCAGGTGTTTGACACATTCACGAAGTATAAAGGAGATTAAGGAATAAATTGAGAAAAATTAATTGAAAAGACAAGTTTTGAACTCTCTTTTAAGATTATAAAAGTGTATTCACATACTGGATAAAGGGAAGAGTTTGGGTATTTTTGCAGAGATAAGAGGATATGAGAAAACAGGGAACACAAACATGGATAATGGAAAGTTCGGAAGGTAACTAGCTGGAAATAAGGCTAGGCTAGCAAGGTATATGAGACCAGCTTCAGGATTGCTTTGAATTGATTTCACTCTTTATTGATTACCTACTCTGTCAGAATTATAAATGAGCCTCAGAGAGTTCATGAACTTCCTCTGAAGTTATGTGTCAGTTTTTGCATACTTAACATAATTTTTTCTGGAAAGAGACTCTATAGTTTTCATCAGATTCTCAAATTAACATATAAATCAAAAAAATTTAAGGACTTAGACTGAAAGGATCAAAATGTTGGGCCATATATGAATATAAGAAGCATATAAGGGAGGGTGGGATTTGTTGTGATTTAAAAATCAGAGAAAAGGATTTATCAGATTGACCAAAATTCCAATCCTGCATTTCTCTGCTCTGCAACTTTTGTACTACTTTAGCAATTACCTGTTGCACTGAATTATGTTCTTAGTGTTTTGATTATGGCACCATATATAAGCTGATTCTTCATCCCAAAACAAAGAACCATTTCTTCTGCTTCTTTCTATACACTCTGCTTTGCCATGTAGGGCGTTATATATGAGATATTCATTCTGTCCTGCAAGCTAAGAAAAAGAAATGTCCCTTCCTCTGTTTAAGGACCAGTTCTTTTACCTGCATTTTTGTTCCTTCCTTACGTATAAAAAGAAAATCCTCCTTTGGCCCCAACATCTGCTTTACACCTGTACCTTACTTTTTGCTTCCTTTCACAGTCAAGGTTTTTAGAAGAATAGGCAATAATTCCTCCCTCCACTTCCTAATCAGTCATCTACACATTTTAAAAAGTTATTTGGATTTAGTATCAATAGTTTTTAGAGTATTTTTTTAATTGGTGGAATATTTCAAATATACAGACTAACATAACATTCTAACATAACATTCTAACATAACTAACATAACATTCTAATACTCATGACCCTACTATCAGATTGTATCAAAATATAATGTTTACATTTTGCCATATTTACTTCAGATCATTTATTTAATTGTGGTAAGATTAGTTTACAGCACAATATAGGTTTCAGGAATATACTTTCTCACTTCAGCAATTGCATATATCTCACCGCACCTACCACAAAATGTCCAGTCACCATTCATCAACCAGTGAGTCCACTCTACCCATTCCCTCCTCTCTTCTTCCCCTCTGGTAACCACCATTCTGTTGCCAGAGACTAAGGGTTTGTTTTAGTTTTAGTTGTTCACTTGCTTTTTTTCCCTTTATATTCCACAAATGAATAAAATCATACAGTATTTTTCCCCTTCTGACTTATTTCACTTGGTATAATCCACTCAAACTTCATCCATGTTGTCACAAGTGGCAAAAATTCATCTTCTTCTGGCTGAGTAGTATTCCATTATGTATATATATCACATTTTATCCATTCATCTGTTGTCAGCACTTGGACTGTATCCATCCCTTGGCTATAGTGGATAGCACTAGATTGAATGTAGCCGTGTGTGTGTGTGTGTGTGTGTGTATTCAAATTAGTATTTTTGTATTCTTCAGATAAATACCCATAAGTAAGATTATTGGATCATGTGGTAATTCTATTTTTAATTTTTTGAGTATTCCCCATGCTGTTTTCCATAGTGGCTGTACAGGTTTACATTCTTACCAATGGTGAGAATGTAATGAACCCACTTAATTCTTGACTTTTTGATAATAGCCATTTGTACTGGTGTGAAGTGAAATTTCATTGTGGTTTTGATTTGCATTTCTCTGATGATATGGATGTAGAACATCTTTTTATGTGTCCTTTGGCCATCTTTTTATCTTCTTTGGTAAAATGCCTGTTTAGATTCTCTGTCCATTTTTTAATCTGGTTGCATGGGGTTTTTTTGTTTGTTTGTTTTAATATTATGTTCTTGAGATTCATTTATGTAGCTAAGGAAAGAGCTAATTCCTAAACTTGTAACTGTTAAGATTCTGTATGACTATAGAGTATACCATAATTTTCTTATCCCTTCCCCAATGTACATAGTTTCCTTTTAGTTTGTCACTGTTATAAATAAGGCTGCAGTGAATATCCTTGTACTTTGTCTCCTTATATGTAGTGGATTGGATGGCAGTAGTATTAGCATCAGCTGGAAACTTGTTAGAAATGCAAACTCAGGATAGGACCCATCAGTCTTCACTTCCCCATACTTCCTTATGTAATAAAAGTCCTTTGAGTGCTGGTGATCCCATTTATTATATATCTCTCTGGAAATTACCTCCTTTTTGCCTTTCCCCCAGTATTGTTAGATTTTAACCTAATAACCTCTCTTTCTTACACTATTGTGGGAGCATTTGAACTTATCCTTTTATGCAGTTTTGGCCCAATTTCATTTTTTATTTTACTTTTGGAATTTTCAGTAGAAAACTCATCATATTGCTTCTTAGCATAAAACTTCATATACAAATGATAAGGACCACTTAGGCATTGCCTTATGTGTCCTAACTCTTCCTTTCTGCAGCCTCTTTCTCCTTAGTTTTATCTTTGGGCCCTGTGTTCTTGCGTAGGAAGGACTATTTCCATTTCCTGAACTTAATACTCTATTTCATATACTACTACCTTTGTTCTCTCTGGAATTCCTAGTCTTTTCCCACTCTTCCTTTAAGGTGGATCTCTTCTGTGAAACCTTTCTGACTTACCTATAGAATTAACTATATCTGTTGTCTTTTACAATAATTATTTAATTGCACCTATTGTACAATATTTGTTTGCATATATTCTATAATTTCTCAATACTATGCTTTCATATTAGCTCAAGATCTTTTCAAGGACAGAAGCCATCAGTTATTTGTCTTTGTATTTTCTACACCTTTTACAGTTCGTCACAGTAGACTCTTAGCAAATATTCAAATGGGCAGAAAAATGGACAAACACAATAACATGTTCCCCTGTGATAGACCAGAAGAAATATATTCTCTGACTTTGAATCTCTATAAATGAAAAGACTAGGTCACAACTCTCACTGCATAATTCTGTGAACTTAGAAAGGGCTTTTTAAATTTTTAAATACTTTTCAACCAAGGAATAGTTGCAAAAACAGTACAAAGAATTCCCATGTTTATTTTAGCCACATATGCCAATTGTTAACTATATATATGTGTGTGTCTATGAATATATAAGATGAGGATATTTTCCTGAACCATTTGAGAATACATTGTTCCATGTACCATAAAGCTTGTGTTTTTCTTGAAGATGAGGAGACTATGCTTACATAAGTTTAGTACAATGATCAGGAAATATAATGTCTGCAATTTTCTTATCTAATATTAGTCCATACTCAGATTTCTCCAAGCATCCCAGTGATGTCCTTAATTATTGCAGTTATTCCCCAATCCAGTAACCACTCCATGGTCATAGATTTCTTTTAGTCTCCTTTAATCTGGAACAGTCTCTTTACTTTTTCACACAAGACTCTAATAGTGCTACTGTATCAAAATTGGGACTGCTGATCTCTATCAAAGTGAGTGAAGAATGCTTATTATCTGGTGAAATCTTCTCATTTCCTCCTTTTTTATGTTTTTAGAAGTTTTTAAAATTCCAGTTTAGAAAGTTCTTCTAGAATCTTAAAAATAATTATTCAGAAATTCCAATGTTGCAAAAAATATTGAAGAATGAAAAGTTGCAATTTTGTATTATGATGTAGTGATTTGTTTGAAAGTGGGGGAATGTGTGTTTGAATCCTAATTTAAGATTTTCCTTATTTTCCATGAATGCCTTTCTGTCTCTTATAGGGAGTTTATTAGATTTCCTGAAGGAAGGAGATGGAAAGTATTTGAAGCTCCCACAACTGGTTGATATGGCTGCTCAGGTACTTGTGTATCTATACATGTATCAATTTGAATTGAAAAACATACATTAAAAGATGTAAAATAATCTTCAGTAGAGTGCTGTTGTTTCTGGGATTTTATTAGCACCACACTCTAAAAAACTGAGCTAACCAACCACCCATTTCTGGGATTTTAGAGTTAGTGGGAACATTAGAGATAATACAGTCTGATCTGCTTCTCATATACATAATATAGTATTTGAAGATCAGTGGTATCTAAAATTCATGTAACTTAATAGTATTAGAAACATCTAGATAACTTTCAGCACATTGGTCTTCTGTATTGTATGATCTTTCAGAAACATGTACATCCACAAATGTAAATTTATGTATTTATATTTCAACAAACTGAAAGATATTGATTACTATTCCAATGAAAATTTTAGAATTCTAAAGTATATGCTGAATGAATTTTTTAATATAGATCAAAACAAGATTCAGATGGCAATAAACAGTTTAAGTAAGGGATTTTTTAATTCTTGTGAATTTTTGTTAAGTGTAAAAACTATTAAACGTTTCTGTTAGGTATGTTTGGTACTCAAAGAGCCTTTTATTAGCTTTGGTTAACCTATTGGTTCTAAGACTCTGAATAAACATTCAGATATCCACAGAATCTGGCAGTTTAGAACTTTATACCAAGAAACTGAATATGTGAGACTTTGGCATTTGCCAAGTTTAGCCCATGCTCCTGAGTTTGTTGGACACTCCTGAGTCTGTTAGACACTGTGGTAAGGGTCAGCTACCTATTTTTGTAAAGGATCAGATACATGTTTTGGGCATTGTAGGTTACATATATATATATTTATATTTATATATAATATACATAAGATACACACACACACACACATATGTTGTTTCAACAAACTGAAAGATACTTTTTCTTTCTTCTTCCCTCCATCTATTAAAATGTTTTCTATTTTTCCCATTATCTGCTACACTATGCCCTGTTACATCATCTCCTTTTAAGATATATGACTTTTCAGTGATCTGACTGAACATTAATCAAAATTGTCTTCTCTTTGCTTCCTTTTATAACATATGTCTCTCTTTTTTTCAAGATTGCTGATGGTATGGCATATATTGAAAGAATGAACTATATACACCGAGATCTTCGGGCTGCTAATATTCTTGTAGGAGATAATCTCGTGTGCAAAATAGCAGATTTTGGTTTAGCAAGGTTAATTGAAGACAATGAATATACAGCAAGACAAGGTAAAACTTTTTATTAGTTATGTATTTTTCATTGCGGTACTGTTGGTTTACAGTACCATACATGATTTAGGGGTATAGGTTCACGTCTCTTCAGATGTGTATTACCACACCTACTACCAAAGCACCAATAATCTCTATTGTAGTCCAGGGGGCCCTCTGTCCCCTACCCCGTCTGCCCTTCTCTAGTAGCTTTACTTCTATAATCAGATTTTTATGGTTTGTTTGGTTTAGTTTTGTCTGATTCTTTTTTTTTTTCTTTATATTCCATATGTGAGTGAAATCATCCAGTTTTTATCTGGAGATACTGACAAAAGATTAGTACTGCTTAATTATACAAATAGATTTTAAAAAGCAATTTAAGCAAAATTGTCAATACTGTTGTAGGAGCAAAATTTCCAATCAAATGGACAGCTCCTGAGGCTGCTCTATATGGTCGATTTACAATCAAGTCTGATGTATGGTCATTTGGAATTCTGCAGACAGAACTGGTAACAAAGGGCAGAGTGCCATATCCAGGTAAGCTAGCATTTCACTAGCAATGGCGATCTCACCAGTGACTTTTTTTTTTAAGATTTATTTATTCATGCATACAAGAACTGGGGTACAAGCCAGATGTGCAGGAGGGTAAGAGGATTCATCAGAGACAGAGCAGGGAACAGAACAGGCAGACTGACTGAAATACATGCTGAGGGGAGCAGCGGGCGAGACAGGAGAGGCCTGCTGCGCCATGTGGGTATCCCTGGCCGGCCAGGATCAAATCGTGCTGCAGAGGCTGTGGACAGCTTCACAGCACTGTGCTTAATCACCTGCGCCAGCAGGGAGGCCCAGTCCCACCAGTGACTTTTACTGGAGTTTATTAGGAACACAAATATAAGGGGGTGGAATAGCCTTTCTTTATTCTCTTTCTTTCTCTGTTCTTCCCACTTTACTCCCCTTCCTCCCTTTTGATATTGGATGGATGGCAGCCTGTAAGAGTAACAGTACCTAAGGCAGGGCAAGCACAGAAGGTGTGCCCACATTCACCATGGCTTTCTCCCTTAGAGCATTTTCCAAAGGGCCTTTTATTCTATTCTCGCAGATACTAAACTATTCTTAAAATCTTGGGTCATCTATCTCACACACCCCCACCTCTACACCTACCCCTAAGTAATTATGGGTGTGTGCTACTCTGTGATAACAGAGGATAAGCTACTGGTGGGGGTGGGAGGTTAACATAGGAGTAAAAGAAAAGAACTGTATAATAACTTGAAATTCAAACAGATGGTATTAGATAAGGAAACTGTTTCAGGGAAGTGACTTGATAGACTGTTAAATAGTTATTATATTTTATTTCCCCAAATCAGGACCAGAATCCTTTTTTCTTAATTCCTATTACAAAGTTCTTACAGATACCACCTTGCCCCTGTTCCTCATTAGCTCAAGTTTTGTTATTATTAACTGTTAACATCAGAAACTAAGACCCCAAATTCTCATTAATCAAAGGCAGTTGGCTTTTGAATACATTAGTGTTGAAAACAAGGTTTTAGGTGGAATGAAAAAATTAGACATGTTCCATACAATATGTTGGCATTTTCTAAGCTCTTCATTAAATACTTTGACATTTTAAATTTACTTCATTTCCTAGATGAAAGTCATTTTAAATAAACTTAGTAAACCTCAAATCAGTTAGGATTTGTTCTGGTTTGTAAGTGGTGCTTGGCATCTTTTTTTTTTTTTTTTTTTTTTTAATGTTTGAATCTTGTCTGTTAGGTATGGTAAACCGTGAAGTGCTGGAACAGGTGGAACGAGGATATAGGATGCCTTGCCCTCAGGGCTGTCCAGAATCCCTGCATGAATTGATGAATCTATGTTGGAAGAAGGACCCTGATGAAAGACCAACATTTGAATATATTCAGTCCTTCTTGGAAGACTACTTCACTGCTACAGAGCCACAGTACCAGCCAGGAGAAAATTTATAACTCAAATAGCCAATTTTATATGCACAAATCTGCCAAAATATAAAGTACTTATATAGACTTCCTCAGTTACATACAGGAATCAAAAGAAGAAAATCTTCACTCTGCATGTTTTTAATGGTAAACTGGAATTTCAAATATGGTTGCACAAAACCACTTTCCCCCCTAAGTGTTAAACTCTAATGTACCAATGATGAATTTTCCAACTTACTTTAAAGTCCAAAGAAAATGTAACTAAGATATGGATAACAGTGTGATAGCATGACAATGAAGAACAAAAGATTAAAATTTATAAATCACTTCTTTTATTCCCCACACTCAGAATTATTAAGAGTAAATTACCATTATAGACAAAAACTGGAAGTAAAAAGTTATACCATAATAAAATCCAAAATTAAGGAATTTTATGGGACCAAACAATTCCATTCCAGTTTTTAAAAATTTCTTACTTTGTTCTCAAAAGTTTTTTTTAATATATGCCTCCTTTTGCATGGCAATGGGCCAGGTTTTTAGAAGCAAAAAGGAAGATAAATAGCATCTAAAACTTGATTGTTAGACTACAGCAGTGTAAATCTGAAAGTATAATGCACTATGCTAATACTCATATTCATGGAACTGGAAAGTAGAGGAAGTTTTTCACTTTAATCATTTTCTGAATAGCTCAGTGTAGAATGATGAAGGTAACCAAACCTTGAATCAACCCTTCATGAGGTGGTTTTTAAGGCAATATATTAAAATTGTACTCTCCAATACAAAGGAAAATCTTTTAATCTTTAGGTAGCATTAAAAAAAATAAGTCCCATCATATAAGCAGTCCTTTTGAAAAAATAGACTGGTACTGTGAGATATTGCTATACATAGTTATGGTGATGGGTGCCACAAGTATAAAATATCACTAGATCAGGGACTTGAATGCAATGAAAATGTATTTAAAGAAATGTGAGGGGAAAATGTGAAAGTTTTACAGATAGAGGAATGGAAGGTGAGTTTAATGATGTTAGGAATGACAAAAATGGCTTTGCTGGCACTCAAAGCTCCTCCCTTACCTATTTTCTGAGATTTTAAGAGTTATAAGGTATGACTATAAAACTAATCTCTCTTAACATGAAACACTAAATGAGTGTAATAGCCTCAAAATAGCTGTTAAGGCTTCTCACTAATTCTAGTGATTTTGCACACTAGATTTTACACAGCTTTTGTGCAAAACATTTCTAGGACTTTGGTTTTCAAATCTGTATTGGAATCCTTATTCACTTTTTAAAATATTGTACTTAATGGTCATCATTTTTCCCTTTTAGGATTTAATTAAGAAGAAAAATTTATTCAGAATAATAACAGTGATGTAAAGGGTTACAGATTTTGCCCATTTAAAGTGCAGAAGTGAAATATACAAAGACAGATTTTTATGAGTACTCAAAAATTACAAAATAAGAATTTAGATAGCAGCATTAGAACTTTGTTTCTAGCAAAGAAATTAAATCTGACAAATATAAATCTGGTATTTGTATTTTAAAGTAAAAACTATCTTTTATAGTCCCACTTTAAATAATGTAAGAGTACCAATTCTCCATGTTTTAGGAATGTAATTTTCAACCACCATCACTTACCTGATTTGATCAATAAGTTTAAGGTTCTGTGCCATGTTGAAACAAATTTCTTAATGTGACAAATGAATTTCATGCAAGTTGACAACAGTCTGGTACTAAAAACTGGTGGTTTCTTATGTTTACATAACCAGCTTAGTATTGAATTCCTCTTCCAAGAGGATTTTCCTAAGAAGACTGCCATCATCATTTATCTTTAATGTCTATAGCCTGTGACATCAGACATCAGATTTTTAAAGGGCTTTATGTGAACTATGATATTATAATTTTTCTAATCATTTTAAACAAATTATATGTTTATGTATTAATTTTGTTAAGAAAAATAAGCCAGGAAAAGTTGATGGTATTCAATAGGTTTAATTGAATGGAGCAATTCCTCATAATAGCAGCTGTATAGTGGGGGAAGAAAACACTAACTTAATGTGTATTCAGTTTTAAATGGTTATGTATTTTTAAATTGCCAAGAAAAATAAACAACTTTGTACATTTGAAGACTTTTTTCAACAGTTTTTCATCTTCACTATCTTAATGTGGAACGTAAACCCTTATCAAAAAAGGAAGTTGACGTAAGCAGCCTTCTAGCACAAACACTTTTTTAAATGAAAATGGTAACCTAAAAGGTAATATTTTTTATAAGTGTATTATGTTGTTTTTGTGGATAATTGAAATAAAAATTCTCATTGACTGCACCACATTCATTTCTTTTCAGCTACTATTCGTACATTCTTGTCAGTTTTTTAAAACTTATAGCAATGTGTATTCTAAATTCTTACATCAGAGGGGAAAGTAGTTACAACTTGAGCATAGTTAAATCAATTCTTTATTAAATTTAAAACCTTATTGAACTTGTTCTGTGTGGTTAATTTTTCTGTCAGGTAAGTGACATTATTTTTATAGGGCTTTAATTATACTAGCAACTACAGTTAATGTTTTGTACAGAGAAATCTAAGTGATTTTAGTGAAGCTATTCAGAGAATCTGTGTAAAGGATATAAAATAAAATAACCACTTTGACCACAGGGATTTAATTTTCTAAAAATGAAAAATATGAGCATTATTTCTGTGTGTTTTACACTTGTGTTTTAGCTATAATGAAAATAAAATTATACTAAATTATGAATTGCCAATCAGAAGCATATATTATTTTTGATAAGGTAATAGTATTAATTACCTTTTATTATATTACTAAAAAAAGATTAGCTTTGTTTTTCCCTAATGATTTCAGAAAAATAACTTCTAATCAACAAACACATCATTTAGTAGACATTTATTAAATATTTTTATACAGTATAGGTATAGTTCTTAATTTAAGAATATTTTCCTAGTTTGCTCTTTGCCTTTTTAATTTTGCCTGTAATTTTTTGACATTTAAGTTGTACATTTGTATGTTGTTAAATTTCCTTATTTTATGCTTTGAAAGTCCTTTGCATTCCCAGATTAAATATTCATCTCATCTGTTAGAGTTTATGCTTTTCTTTTTTACAGTGCTCTTTAATTCATTTAAAAGTTATTTGGTTATAAAATGTAACTGGAGTCTAGCATGATTTTTTTACATATAGTTACTTTTCCTGGCACCATTCATTAGTTAATCCATTCCCGCTGCATTGATTTATTTCCTGTATTATCTGTGGAGTTGGAAGAGTACATGACAACTCATCCTTAGTGTGATTATAGTGGTCTACAGATGCCACCCCAGTGCTGCCAGAGACCAGGTCCCCACTTTGTTACAAAAGAAACCAACATACAGAGAGAGAGAACAGAGTGTGTGCCACAGAAGCGTCTTTCCCCAGTATCAGTTCCTTCCCTCCACATCCTCCAGTTCCTCTTTTTTTCATGTTTAAACACCACAATGGAATATTACTCAGCAATCAAAAAGATAAACTCATGCCATTTGCAGCAACATGGATGGAGCTAGAAGGAATTATGCTCAGTGAAATAAGGAAAAAGGAAAATATCAAATGGTTTCACAGGAGAAATAAGGGATCAGGAAAAAAAAATAAACCAAAATTAACAGGCAACTGTACATCAGACATTCTGCATGGGTGGGAGACAGATCAAAACGAGAGGGAAGAGCACAAGGGACTATGGTGATGGTGCACAGGTGACTTGGTGGTAGGAATTTTATGGGGATACACCTGAGAGGAGAAAGCAAATATTGTACAAAAATTAACAATGATGAAAATATATATAAATAAATTAATTTTAAAAAGAGAAGGAAAAAGAAAAAAATCATGATACAGAACTTTACCATCTCCAAAAATTTCCCTCATGCCCCCATTTAGTCAATTCCCTCCCCTAACTTCTGACCCTGGCGACCACTGAGTGTTGTTGAAACTAAAGTTACACATTTCTAGAATTTCATAAATGGAATCATACAATTGTAGTCACTTGTGTCTGGCACCTTTCACCTATCTCACCTATCACAATGCTTTTGAGATTAATCTTTTTTTTTTTTAAGATTTATTTATACAAGCACTGGGTACAGTCAGAAGCGCGGGAGGGTGAGAGAATTCACCAGAGCCAGAGCAAGGAGCAGAGCAGACAGACTGATGAAATACACTGCTGAGGGGGGCAGCAGGCGTGGCAGGAGAGGACTGAGTGCCATGTGGGACCCTCGCCTGAGGCCAGGGATTTTACAGCCTGCAGGCAGTTTCACAGCCCAGCGCTCAACCAGGGGAGGCCCGAGATTAATCTTTTAATGGCTCAAATATTTCACTGGTTTTGTCCACTTGCTAATGGACATTTGGTTTGTTTCCAGTTTGGAATGATAAAGCTGCTATGAACATTCAAGTACACGTTTTTTGTGTGAACATAGGCTTTAAATTCTCTTGGAAAAATAAGGAGTATTATCACTTGATCTTGGCAGTCATTTTAATTGTAGTCATTCTGGTGCTGGAAATATCTCACTGAGTGTTTAATGTGCATTTATTTCCCTAGTCAGTAATAATGTTAAGAGCCTTTTAATTTTTTTTGGTTCAAATTCACATCTCTTCTTTAGTGGAGTAACAAAACTTTTTGCCTTTTTTTTTTTTTTTTTTTTTTTTTGGATTAAGGCATCTTATTTTTGAGCCGTAGGTCATTCAGGATTCTAGATGCTCTGCAAATATTTTTCTCCAATGTGCAGCTTGCTTTTTCATTTCCTTATTGGTGTCTGTTAAAGAGAGAATGTTTTTCATCTTGAAGTCAGATTTATATTTTTCCTTTCATCATTCATGCTTTTAATGCCCTAAAAAAGTTTGGCTTATCCTATGCTTTCTCTAGAAGTTCTTTTTTTTTTTTTTTATACATATAAGAACTGGGGTATAGGTCAGAGATGCGGGGGGTGAAAGGATTCACTGGAGACAGAATGGGGTCCAGAACATGCAGACTGACTGAAACACATGCTGAGGGGAGCAGCGGGTGAGACAGGAGAGGTTTGCATCATGTGGATAGCTCCCTGGTTGGCCGGGGATCAAACTCATGCTGCAGAGGCTGCAGCTAGCCCCCCAACCCCTTTGTGCCACCAGGGAAGCCCTAGAAGTTGAATCTTTTAGCTGTTAGATTTAGGTCTATGTTCCATTTCAAGATAATTTTTGTGTGTGATGTAAGATAAGGGTTCAGAATTACAGTTTATTTTTTTATATCAATATCTAATTGTTCCAGTGCCATTAGTAAGTCTTAGAATCAGATAGTTTAAGTTCTTTGGGGGTTTTTTTAGATTTATTTATTTATTTATATAAGCACTGGGTACAGTCAGAAGCATGGGAGGATGAGAAAATTCACCAGCACCAGAGCAGGGAGCAGAACAGACTGACAAAATACACTGCTGAGGGGAGCAGCGGACACGCAGGAGGGGTCTGTGCGCCATGTGGGACCCTCCCTGGTGACTGGGGATCGTACTAGCACTGCAGAGGCTGTGGGCAGCTTGGCAGCCCAGCTCTCAACCGCTGCGCCCAGCTCTCAACCGCTGCACCACCAGGGGAGGCCCCCTTTAGTGCTGTTCTTTTTCAAGCTTATTTTGCCTATTCTAGGTTATTTAAATTTCCATGAATTTTAAAATCAACTTGTCAATTTCTTTTTTTTTTTTTTAAAGATTTATTTTTATTTATTTACACAAGCACTGGGTACAGTCAGAAGCACGGGAGGGTGAGAGAATTCACCAGAGCCAGAGCGGGGAGCAGAGCAGGCAGAAGGACCGAAGTACACTGCTGAGGGGAGCAGCGGGCGGCAGGAGAGGTCTGCACGCCATGTGGGACCCTCTGGGGGCCGGGGAGCAGCCTGGGATAGAACCGGCCCTGCAGAGGCTGCGGGCAGCTTCGCAACCCAGCGCTCAACCGCTGCGCCCTGGGGAGGCCCCTCAACTTGTCAATTTCTTAAAAAAAAAAAAAAAAGCTCTGGAATTCTGATTAGATTGCATTAAACCTATAATTCAATTTGGGAAGAACTGATAACAATGAATTTTCCAATCCAAGTATACAAAATTTTGCTATACTTAGGTCTTAAATTTTTCTCTGCAACTTTTTATGACTTTTGGTATATAGGTTTTGCATATTTTTGTTAGATTTATTCTTAAGCATTTCATCTATTTTTGCAGTTCTGAGAGGTATTGTTTTCTAAATCCAATTTCCAATTTTCTGTCACTATTTAGGTGTCCTGGTCCAGTTTCCAGTGTGCGTGTGTGTCTGTGTGTGTGTGTGTGCACTTACACCAATAAACAATTCAGACACTAGCAGGGTATTAAGAAATTCAACCCAATTTTCATACTATCTACCCAGAGACAGCATCATTACTTAGGTTAAAGGCTCCATCTCCCAGGAGAGCCTCTTCCGACACCAGCCACAAGCTGGTGTTTCTGACCAACCAGGCTATAAATGAGTTTCCCAGGACCCCTCATCAAGTTTGATTAATTTACTAAAGCAGCTCACAATATTCAGGAAACAGTTTACTTTCTACCAATTTATTACAAAGGATATTACTGAGGAATATCCAGATGGAGGTGATACACAGAGTAAGGTATGGGGTTAAGGGTGGGACACATACATGCCCCTTCCAGGCCAGCTACTCTCCCCAAATCATCATGTGTGTACTAACCTGGAAACTCTGAAGCCCCCTCCTCTTGGATTTTTTGGAAGTTTTATTACATAGACATGACTGATTAGCTCCTTGGCTATTTGTAATTGTATTCAATCGCAAGTCCCTTTCCCTTCCTGAAGATCTGAGGATGGGACTGGAAGTTCCAACCCTCTAATCACCGGGTTGGTTCCTTGCCAACCAGCCCCCATCCTTGGGATCTTCCAAAAGTCATCTCACTAACATAACAAGAGATATCTTTATCACTGTGAATATTTAGGGAATTCCAAGGCTTTGAGAGCCTGGAGTCAGGAATTGAGGATGGTGACTAGATAAATATGTCTGAGAAATACATATTTTGGCCATTGAATGACATATATTTCTTATAAATCACAGTATCACGACTACTAAGTGTGATTGAGTTTAAATTTACCTTTTATCATGCAAACTTGGTAAATTCATTATTAATTCTAGTAGTATTTTTTTTACAAATTCTACAAAGACCATCAATCACATCACTCAAGAATAAAGGTGTACTTCTTTTCCATTGTATCTTTTTTTTTTCCTTATTATACTAACTAGGGCTTTCAGAACTATGTTGAATATAAGAGTAGTGAAAGCATACATCCTTGCCTTGTTCTAAGGAGGGAAGCATTAATTGTTCACCATGAAATCAGGTGGTGTTTTTAAGTTTTTTGTCCTTTCTCAGGTTGAGAAAATATTTCTTCTTCTACTACCACTACCACCACCATGGCCGCTGCTGCTGCTGCTGCTGCTGCTGCTGCTGCTGCTGCTGCTGCTACTACTACTACTTGGTTTTTAGCAATTTATTTATAATGTGTCTTTTTGCATGGCTTTCTTAATGGTTTTTCTACTTAGGGTTCTGTAAGATTCATAAGTCAGTGGATTTACAATTGCATTGAAGTTGGAAATCTGGGTAGCATTACTTTTCAATTTGTTTTTCCATTCACTTCTGGAACTCCAATTACATGTATAGAGACCATTTAGTATTTCCTCAGAGGTCACTGATACTTGGTGGGGTGGGTGTCCATAACTTTCTCGAGGTTCTAAGACGGATCCTATAAACCGTACAATCCAGAGGACAGGAGCTCTGGTTTTGCAGACAGTATAGTTTGCCACTTAGCTGTGTGAACTTGAGTAAGTCATTCATTTAGTTTCTCTGGATTCCAACTTCTTCACCAATAAAAGGAAATTCACCCACCTACTTAGCAGGGTTGGCAGGTGAGTGATAATTACTTAAAGCACCCTGCTTTAGCAGGGTTTAAGACAAGTTGACCCACTGCTCAGTTTATCAGGTGGCAAACTGAAGCTGAGGACTTAAGATTTCCAGCCCACAGCTCCCCTCCCTACACCCTCATCTACCTGCGGACTCAGGCGAGAGCAAAGCCCTGGGTTCGAATCTACTTCCTGGCGATCACAGCCCCATCAGATGCGGTCTCCTCCTTTGAGACTCGGCTTCCCGGAAGGTCAGTTGTCGAATTTCCAGCCAAGGCGGAGCAGAGTCCTGCCCAGGTGCCCAGGCGGCAAGGGGCTGACGCCTCGCTGTGGTGCACCCCGACCCTTAGCAATTCCTGGTCTGCGCAGCGCCGACCCGCGGCCCAAAAGCTGCAGGAAGGACAGGCGCTTCCCGGGGAGCCCCTCGGGGTCCGGTCCCGAGGAGTTCCCCGCTCAGCCCCGCCCTCGAGCCGTGCGGCCAATCAGCGCCCCGGCGCCCCGCGCCGCCCGCCCCGGCGCCCCCACCCACCCACTCACTCACCCACGGGGTCGCGGCCTGAGGTGGCGGCGCCGGCGGCTCCGAGGGCGCGAGACATGGTGCGCGGCAGAATCTCCCGGCTCTGGGTGCGGGACGTGCGCTTCCCCACGTCGCTCGGGGCGCACGGCTCGGACGCCATGGTAAGCGCTGCCCGGCCTCGGGGTGCGCCCGCTGGGGCGCCGGGACGTTGAGTCCCGGGAGGACCCGGCTCCCGAACCCTTGTTTTGTGAAGGGGAAGTGGGAAGGGGTAGAAGTATCCAGAACTCACCACCCTCCCTGGGATTCTGGTTTTATGGGGGTTCCCCCCCGCTTTGTTGGCCTTTAATAGATCCTACTTTTACAGCTACAATTCTTACTTTTCTTGAAATGGCAGACTGCACACATTGATTTTGTTGGGTTCCCAGTACATATCGCTGGCTGCTTCTGTACGGAGAACTATGTGGAGTTCAAGGGGTGGAGACCAGGGAATTTGTGCTGGACTTTTGGGGTGGGGATTCTGACTCTGCCACAACTTGCTGCGTAACCTGGAGAAGATTCTGACTTCTCTCGGCCTCTTGGCCCCGTCTTTGAAATGTGACACCTGTCACAGCCCGACTGGGAAACCAGATGAACAAGCTGGGTTGTGTGGGAGGGATTTGTCGTGAACTTACTGTAAACGTGGTTTAAAAGAATTTGTCACTGTAAAGAGTTGTGCAAATATCAGTTTTTGAAGATGCAGTAAATATAGAGCACTGACTAACTCCTGTCTTAATACTGAAGGTCGCTTTTGCTTGAGTGTTAGAGGCCCCCCACACCCATCCCCCTACCCCACCTCCCCCCCGCAAAACACACACACCCACTACTTAATGCAGTGGCTCCCAAATATGAGTCCTGGCCGGGTTTCCTCCAGGCCTGACAGCTCCTGGATCCTCACTGCCCCTCTCCATCCACCGAGGAGATGGCCACATTAGGAAAGACAAAGTCACATGAGTATGTAATGGATGTGTGAAGCATGCTGGGAAGTGAGAAACATCCATGTTAGGATTCTGATTAGTTGTAGGGAGGGGAGAATTAGGACCAGAGGACTCTAATTCCTACGGTAATGTTTTGCTTCTTAAACTGGACAGAGGGCACACTGGTATCATTACATTACCTATCCTGTCTGTATACCTGAAGGATTTTATAACATAGGCCTCGTCAAAAAAAAAAAAAAAAAAATAGGGTGTCTAAACAAAATTGCTTTTAAAAGAATGCCCTTGATCCAGAGATTAATTTATTTTCTGCTTTTTAAAATGCTTATGTATCCTTTCTTAGAGTAAATGACTTAACAACCTGTTGGCAATCCTTTGTGCATCTCCAAATAAATGTTTGAAATTTTACTGGCTTATTAAAATCCAAGCACCTAACCTAGTGCAAGGGTCTTTGCCACTGTGAGCTGTGAGATGCTGGAGCTGTGGGGAAGTCACACAATCTCTTCAAGCCTACATTTTCTCATCTGTAAAATGGGTATAATAGTATCCACTTCATACATGTCAATGAACTGTTGTAAAGACGCTGACAGAGAAGGCCTACATTTTCTCATCTGTAAAATGGGTATAATAGTATCTACTTCATATATGTCAATGAACTGTCCGTAAAGAAGCTGACAGAGAAGGCCTTCTATAAGTGTTTGCTCTAATCACTCTTCACATATGAGGAAACTGAAGCAGAAGAGCTGAGCTAACTTCCCTGTACTTAGGAATTTGTAAAGTGTTGAGGTAGCCTGGTTTACTGTAGAATAATTTACTTAATGGAACTGAGCGCTTTATGACCCCTAGTTCAGGAGGTATTATCTGACACCCTTATTGCAAGCTCATAAATACTTAAGTGTTTATCTTCCAGAGATAGGTGAATGTTGTGTGCTGATTTTCAAGTGCCTTCTTGACAGAATGTGCAACTTTGCAATTCTTCCTTTACAGATAACTCCTGATGTTGCTTCCCTGCCCTCACTGCTCCTGCGCTCAGCATTTCAGCTGCATTTCCACTTAGTGAGCCTTCCTGATCACAAGTAGGGTATTTTCATGAAGGAACCCTAAGAGTGTCCCCAAAATCTGTTATGCAAAGGATTCCAGTTATGAATTTTTACAGACCTTATAAGAAAAGTAGAGCCTGGGGTGTATTTAGGACTAGTTTGCTTACTTAGATGCTCCCAAAGTTTCAAAGAGCCCCAGAGCTCAGAGTTCAGTCCCCTTACTTGGAGTAAAGTCCCTTTCTAGCCCCCCAGACATATTTCATTTCTCTCCACACTGGACTAAGGATAGGGGATTTGGGTTCTAGAACTGACTGTGTCTTCAACTTTTTTACACTCTTAAACTCTTTGGGCCTAAATTTCACTGTCTGTTCATTGAGTGGGTTGACTAAAGAGATTCTGAGTTCAACCTTTTAGATGTGATGATTCCATGACTAAAAGAACTTTAACTTTTCAGCTCATTTTGTTTTCCTAAAATGTTTTGGCCCACTTTTAAAATTATACAAATGTTCTTACCTCTCACTGTCAACCCTCATTGTCATGGTTTTTGTTTGCTTCCCTTAGTTTTATTGACTATAACCGTTTAGGAAATGCTACCTTCCTTGTATTTTTCACTTTTCCATTTGGCTGACAGCTTAATATTTCTACTTTAGTGACCTTAATATGTGTATTTGGAATTTTGGTCTCTCACTCAGTTGATGAATGGAAATGACCTTTGCGTGTGTGTATGTTATTACTTCTTTGAAGTCTTGCTAGAACTTGTTTATAAAATCACCTTGTTCTAGGTTTTTGGTTTGCATGCATTTATCTACCTATCTAGCCTACCACCATCCCTTATACCCCTTTGTTGGTTGTTGGTTTTTGGTTTTTTTTTTTAGTTAGAAATGTTTATTATTTTTAAGTCAACTTTTATTGATTTACAATATTTTTGAATAGATCACTCAATAATTACTTCAGTCACCCACCACCAAAATTCTAGTGCCGAACTTCCCCTTTCTCTCTGATAACCACCATATTGTTCAGACTCTGTGAGATTTTTGTGGTTTTTCTCAGTCAATCATGAATAGGCATTTAGGTTGATTGCATGTTCTTGGCTATCATGAATAATGAATGCTACTATTAATATAGGGCTGCCTATTAACACAGGTTTCTTTTGCACCTTTTAATAGATGAAAATTATCTTAAATTAACATTTGTTATGCTGATGAAAAGTCACATAATAATTTCAGAAATTATAATATCTTTTTCCCCCAGAATTGAGTATATAGAGGTAAAGTAGGTTTATATCTTGTATATGCTCCAGGGGTTATAGGTTCAAGCCTCTACAAATGTATACTTTTCTTTTTATTCTTTTTTTTTTTTAAAGATTTATTTATTTACACAAGAACCTGGGTACGGGCCAGATTTGAGAGGACTCACCAGAGACAGAGTGAGGAATAGAACGGGCAGAATGATTGAAATACACTGTTGAGGGGAGCAGTGGGCGAGACAGGAGAGGTCTGTGGCCATGTGGATTGCTCTGGGGACAGGGCCCTGCGGGGATCCAGTCGGCACTGCAGAGGCTGCGAACAGCTTTACATCACTGTGCTCAACTGCCTGCGCCACCAGGGAGGCCCTACAAATGTATACTTTCACACCATTTCCATTACCAGATGTGAGATGGTGATCTAGTTTCTTTCTTTTGCTTGTGGCTGTCCAGTTTTCCCAACACCATTTGTTAAAGGGACTCTCCTTTCTCCAGTGTATTCTCTTGCTTCCTTTCTTGTAAATTAACTGTTCATAGATGTGAGGTTTATTTCAGTCTCTCAGTTCTGTTCCATTGGTATGTGTGTCTATTTTTTATTCCATGCCACTTTAATTACTATAGCTTTGTAATATAGTTCAAAGTCTAGGAATCTGATACTGCCACTCTTTCTTTTTTTTGTCAAGATACCTTTTGCTGTTTGGGGTCTTTTCTGGTTCCATATGAATTTCAGTTCTGTTTCTTCTCTTTCTTTGAAGAATGCCATTGGAACTTTGATAGGGATTGTATTGACTCTATATTTAACAATGTTTGTTCTTCCAATCCATGAGTAGGGACTGTCTTTCCATTTTATTGTGTTTTCTTATGTTTTAATTATGTCTTATAGTTTTCATTCTATAGGTGTTTTACCTCCGTTGTTAAGTTTACTCTTAGATATTTAATTATTTTTGTTGCAAGTGTGAATGGGATGGTATTCTGGATTTCTTTCTTTTCAGACTCACTGTTTGCCTATAGAAATGCAACTGATTTTTGCAGAGAGATTTTGTACCCTGCCACTTTACTGAATTATTTCAGTTAGTTTTTTAGTAGGGTCTTTAGGGTTTTCCACATATATTATTGTGTCATCTGAAAATAATGAAAATTTTACTTCATCATTCTCAGTTTGTATTCTTTTTATATCTTTCTCTTCCCTGATTGCTCTAGCTAGAATGTCCTATACTGTGTTGAATAGTAGTAGTGACAGTAGACATCCTTGTCCATACCAGACCTTAGAGGAAAAACTTTCAGTTTTTCACCATTTAGTATGATGTTGGCTGTGGGTTTATTGTATATGACCTTCATTATGTTAAGGGATGTTCCATCTACTCCCAGTTTTATTTAGTGTATTTATCATAAATGGATGTTGAATCTTATCAAATGCATTCTTGGCATCTATTAATATAATCATATGATTTTTATCTTCCCTTTGTTTGATGTGTTGAATTGCGTTGATTGACTTGTAGATTTTGAACCAGCCCTCTGTGTCTGGAATAAATCCCACTTGGTCATGATGTATAATCCTTTTGGTGTATTGTTGGATTTGGTTTGCTAAAATTTTGTTGAGTTTTGCACATATGGCTCACCAGAGAAATTGGTCTATAACTCTCTTTTTTGTAATGTCTTTGTCAGGTTTTGGTATCAGAGTGATGTTGGCCCATAAAATGTGTTTGGAAGCTTTCTATCTTTCCGCTCTTTGGAAGAGTTTCAGTGTGATTGGTATTAGATCACCTCTGATGGTTTGGTGGAACTCACTAGTGAAACCATATGGGCCTGGACTTTTATTGTTTGGGAGACTTTTGATTGCTGTTTCAATATCCTTGATTGTGACTTTTCTGTTTCTTCCTGGTTCAGTCTTGGAGGGTTGTAAATTGCTAATAATTTCTCCATTTCATGTAGATTATTCAGTTTGTTGGCATGTCAGTGTTTGTAGTAATCACTTCCGTATTTCTGAAATGTCTGTTTAATTTCTTCTCTTTCACTTTTTTTTTTTTTTAAATGTCTGGGAGTTTTTTTTTTTTTTAAGATTTATTTATTTATTTATACAAGCACTGGGTACAGTCAGAAGCGCGGGAGGGTGAGAGAATTCACCAGAGCCAGAGCAGGGAGCAGAGCAGGCAGAAGGACTGAAGCACACTGCTGAGGGGAGCAGCAGGCAGCAGGAGAGGTCTGCGCGCCATGTGAGATCCTCCTCTGGTGGCTGAGGAGCAGCCGGGGATCGAACCGGCGCCACAGAGACTGCGGGCAGCTTCGCAACCCAGTGCTCAACTGCTGCGCCACCGGGGAGGCCCCTCTTTCACTTCTGATTCTATTTATTAATAGAATTTTTATTTATTAATAGAATTTTTTTCTTAGTGAGTCTAGTTAGAGGTTTGTGTGATTTTTTTCAAAGAACCAGATTTTGGTTTCATTGATCTTTTGGACTGTTTTTGATTTCTATTTAACATAGGGGTTTAAATTTTGCCTCTTTCAACTCAGCTTCCTCATCTGCAAGATAGAGAGATAGCACCTAATTGATAATGTTTTTGTAAGGATTAAATGAAGTTATGTAGCTCTTTGAAGTGTGCCCAATCAGTAAGTATTATATAACAATAACAGTTATAAGTTGTCAGAAGCAAAAGTGGTCAGTAGTAGCATCTTACATTCCTTATTCATGTATTCAGATCTTCTAGTTGACTTTTGGGGGGAGTATTCCTATCTGCCCACATGGTACCCATCCAGTCTTGCCTTTGTTCACTTGCAAACCAGATTCTTCATGGATCTTTGACTTCCTGCCACAGAAGGCCCCTGGATTTCATGGTCTCTCTGGCCTGTGTACTTTCTTCTACTACTTCGTCTATCTAAAAGGTCTTAGTCCCCTATTTCCTCTTTGCTCAAAATACCTTGAAATTTTGTGTTACTTTTAACCCACCACATGTTAGCCATGACCTTTTGCGGTATGGGTGATTGTTAATTAGCTTTTGAGTGTTAGCTTTTTTTTTTTTAATTTTATTTTTATATTCCCCATACAATTACAACCCCCTTATTTTGACCCCAATCCCTCCTTTCCCCGCCCCCCGCTCCCCATAGAGTGTCTCTGGTTCATAGTTGTTTGTTGATTCTGATATTTTCTTTCTTATAGTTATTCTTTTTCCTGGTCCCTTATTTAAGTTTTCTAGATTCCTGCTATGAGTGAGACCATCTGGTATTTTTCTTTTTCTTTCTGGCTTATTTTGCTGAGCATGATCCCTTCCACCTCCATCCATGTTGCTGCAAATTGCATGTGTTTATCTTTTTTGAATGCTGAGTAATATTCCATGGTGTATATGTACCACATCTTTTTGATCCAGTCATCTATTTGGGTTGTTTCCAAAGCTTAGCTATTGTAACTAGTGCTGCTATAAACATAGGGGTGCAGGTGCACTTTGGAATTGATGTTTCTGTGTCCTTTGGGTAGATACCTAGGAGTGGAATTGCTGGATCATATGGAAGCTCTAGTAGGTCAAGAAATCTCCACACAGCTCTCCACAGTGGTTGGACCCGTTTGCACTCCCACCAACAGTGCAGGAGAGTTCCCTTTTCTCCACAACCTCACCAATATTTGTTGTTGCTAGTTTTTTCAATATGTGCCATTCTCACTGGTGAAAGATGGTATCTCATTGTAGTTTTGATTTGCATTTCCCTGATGACAAGTGATGTTGAACATTTTTTCATATGCCTGTTGGCCATTTGCATTTCCTCTTCAGAGAAGTTTCTTTTTAGCTCTTCTGCCCATTTTTTGACTGGATTATTTTCTTTGTTTTTGTTGAGTCTCATCAGCTCTTTGTAGATTTTTGTGATCAGTACTTTGTTGTTAGTGTTGTGTGCAGAAATGTTCTCCCAGTCGGTGGGGTTTCTCTTTGTTTTTGTTACTGTCTCTTTTGCTGTGCAGAAGCTCTTTAATTTGATGTAGTCCTTTTACTCCCTTCTATCTGAGCAATTTCTAGAGACATACTTGATTTTTTACTTCTATATTCCCTGTATTGATGAGTAGTGTTACATTTCATAAGTCGGTCAGTAAGTACTTATTAAAAATATTGTTTGATAGTAGAAAGTTAAATGAAAAGAACAAAACAAACCATGAGTTCAATTGTTTCAAAGTTTGATTCCTCATTTTCCCTTAGTGATCTCCTGTGAACTATTGCTATTAGAGCCCCTACTACCAAATATTACAATGAGGATAAGTCTAATTTTATGTGAAAGCCTTCTGAATCCTTGATTTGTGCTATTTATTTTTTAAAAGATTTATTTATCTATGCATGCAAGAATTGGGGTACAAGCCAGAGGTATGGGGTGGTGAGAGGATTCACCAGAAACAGAATGGGGAGCAGAACAGGCAGACTGACTGAAATACACTGCTGAGGGGAGCAGTGGGCAAGTCAGGAGAGGTCTGTGGGTCAGCTGTGGGTCAGCTCCCTAGCTGGGGATTGAATTCACGCTGCAGTGGCTGTGGATTCCTTCATAGTGCTGCATCTTAATCCCTTGCGCCACCAGGGTGGTCCCGGTTTGTGCTATTGGAAGCTGATTGTGAATTAACTCTCTCCAAAAAGCTGATGGAGGGCCTCCCCTGGTGGCGCAGGCTGTTGAGCACCACTCTATGAAGCTGTCCGCAGCCTCTGCAGCGCCGGTTCGATCCCGGCTGGCTGGCAAGGGTCCCACATGGCACAGCAGACCTCTCCTGTTGTGCCCGCTGCTCCCCTCAGCAGTGTATTTCATTAGTCTGCCTGTTCTGTTCCTCGCTCTGTCTCTGGTGAATCCTCTCATCCTCCTGCACATCTGGCCTGTACTCCGGTTCTTGTGTAAATGAATAAATAAATCTTTAAAAAAAAAAGCTGGGACCTCCCTGGTGGCACAGCGGTTGAGCATTGGGCTGCAAAGCTGCCCGCAGCCTCTGCAGTGCCGGTTTGATCCCCGGCCACGGGCAAGGGTCCCACATGGCGCGCAGACCTCTCCTGCCGTGCCCGCTGCTCCCCTCAGCAGTGTATTTCGTCAGTCTGCCTGTTCTGCTCCCCACTCTGGCTCTGGTGAATTCTCTCACCCTCCCACGCTACTGACTGTGCCCAGTGCTTGTATAAATTAATAACTTAATCTTTAAGGAAAAAAAAAGCTGGTGGAGGTAGTTGTGGGTGACGCTCCTTGTTTTAAAATTGAGCTGAACAGCAACAGAGATGTAATTGCACAAATTGGCATTAAAAATGCCTTGTTGCACCTGTTAAAATATATTTGAATCCTTTAGGAAGACAATACTTTCATCTATTCAGACCTACTGTGTTTTCTTTGCAGCACATCAAGAATTCCCTTAGGTTGGAGCTCATCCTGCACATCCGCTGTTGCATTTTCTATTCTTACATGATGTCATCTTTACATTTATTTTTTGGATTTCTCATGTTTCACTGTTTGGGTGGGGGACATTTTTCCTGCAGCACACAGACCCTGACTACTCAGCTGCCTATGTCGTCTTAGAGACTGATGCAGAAGATGGACTCAAGGGATATGGAATTACCTTCACTCTGGGAAAAGGCACCGAAGTTGGTGAGTTGCACATTCTCTTAAGATTCCAGAATGCTTAACTATGATTCAGATTCTATTTCTGATCTTATTTTTCTCTCTCTATAGTATCTGAAATAAATTAAAACTTTGTTTTATGGTTCATTATTTTTTTCATTGAGAGAAATTAAAAAGGGGTAGAATTGGCCTCCTTGCAGTTATCCGTAGGATGCAGAAAAATCCTTGATTTTCTTTGAATCTTGATCCATTTCTCTGCTGAGCTTTGAGAACTAGGCACATGACATAGGATCACCAAGGAGGGCAGATGTGCTCTCAAGTAGTAAGGTATATGAATGTGCATGGTGAGTCTACTTGCTTTTCAAAATGTTTCACACTGATGGTTTCAAGTTCACTGTTCTTCATGGTAGCAGAGGCCTTTGGGCCTACCCATTTTCAGAACTATCATCTGCGAAGACCAGATTGTATAAAATGTACACTGAGCAGGAGCAAGTCATTCTCCTCTCAGAGCTAGATGGACTTTAACCAGATCAGTTTTAATGGATCATTAAAATCTAGAGCCAAATCATGATAGTTGAAGAGTGAGGGTCCAGGAAAGGAGGAGACATGTTCTCCAAGTTTGGTGGTGATGTGATCTCTCTTGTGGATATGTGCACCATCAACCCTGTTGTGGTTGTGGAATTAAAGTCTGCCCCCACTGAAAGATTTGCCATTGCCAGGAAGGTAAAAGGTGTGTGTGAAGACATGGAGGCACTGTTCTTCCTCTTTACAGGGCTACCATGTGATCAAGCTGTCTTCCGTCCTTCTCCAGATCTGTCTAGATGTGTCTGTATATTAGGTACACAGTTGCCTTCAAGAGCCAGCCATGGCAATAATAACTTGTAATGTTAGAGAGAGAGAGAGAGAGAGAGAGAGAGAGAGAGAGAGAGAGAGAGAGAGAGAGAGAGAGAGAGAGAGAGAGAGAGAAGAGAAGAGAAGAGAAGAGAAGAGAAGAGAAGAGAAGAGAAGAGAGAGAGAGAGAGAGAGAGAAGAGAAGAGAAGAGAGAGAGAGAGAGAGAGAGAAGAAGAGAGAGAGAGAGAGAGAAGAGAAGAGAAGAGAAGAGACAGTCCTACAAAGTAGGAGAAGGAATACATAAATTTAGGGAAACAGATGTGAAAGAAATGACAGTGTTGCATGACAGTTTTTTAAAAGCAGGTACAAGTTACACAGAATCAGGGTTAGTTCATAGTCCAGGAGGGTTGGGGAGGGATTGAATCTTGAAGATAAAAAGGAATCTTCCAGGTAGAGGGAGATTCGTCAATGATTCCCTGTTCCCTCTCCCCATTAGGTCAATGATTTACTGTTGACATTTCACCCAAGATAGCAACCACTGATTACAGTAAGTTTTGAGCTGCTTTAGCTTCTCCTGTGATGTTAATTGTCTCTGGTATACATTGAGCCTTTGGGAAGCTGTTTTTTTCCATACTTCAACCCTACAGTGCGGCCCTTAAAAGTTGCGTAAAATTCGACAAACTTACAAAATATATTCCATGGAACAGGCCATTGGAACTACTCTGTTAACAACCAAGACTTTGAACCTTGTTGACTCAGGCACACAGTGGAGGGACCCCAGACACATTGCATAGTCAGTAAGACTTCTCTGTGGTTGCTGAGTTCAATGTTTTAGGCCTTTTCTGCATTCTCCCCTCCTCCACTCCCATCCCCACTCAGCTGTCCTGGTGTGCATTTTGGTAGGGTTAATCCATTTCCATCCCTTTGTGGTTTTAATAAATGGCACTTTGTGGTGATGTGGTTGACTTCCGCCTTTTTTTCAGACCACAGCATGACAGAACTCATTTTTAACTTTAGCCTTGCTACATATTTCAGGTGACTCACTACAGTCTCACTTAATGTGTTATAGGGCTTTTGCATTAAAGATGAAAAAATCCCATTAGCTCTTTACTGTTTTCCTGCATCCTTTATCAGGTTACTTACCTAATCGCTTTTTATGATGGGGAAAAAAAAAAACAGAAACAAAAATAGAGAGATGACAAAAGAATTTTTAAAGAGAAAGCAGCCTTAATGGTTGACACCAGCACTTGGGCCCAGTCACCCACAGTCATCCGTGGGCTTTGCTGACTTGTCCTCCATGTTGGAGTGTCCCAGAGTTGAATTCTGGACACACATAGTCACAGGAGAGAATCTTTGGATTTAGTCAGCAGAAAGTTGCCTTCAAGAGCCAATTTTATTCCATGTAAGTTTCCCCTCCATCACATCAAACATGCAAGCCTGAGATTGATCATTCTCATATTGGAGTCAGAACAACACAACCCATATTTCTATTAAAAGCACCAAATTTCAGTTAACTTCTTGCAGTAAACTTGTTTTGAGCAAGGGAAATCCATGTACTATAGATGAATATATTAATATTACCTATACTTCACTTAGAGCTGTAAAAAATGAGATCATCCTTAACTTTTGTTGAATGCATTTGCCATGTGGTACAAACCAGAACTGTGCTCCAGTCAGTGGTTTCTAGCAACCTTCACATCAGAAGATTTGAGTAGACCATGATGAACCTTTCTTACACTGCAGCTGTCTTTAATCCAAGAGCACCCACCATCCAGGAGTAAGAAAGATTCTGTCTTCTCCCAGTCCTAGGGAATGAATACCTGAACTGGAATGAATCAGTGTTCATTAACAAAAGCTCTGGACAACACAGAATGGTTGGCTCAACCCTAAATCTTCCCTATGAGTGCAAATGTGTAGACATCTGAGATGTTCCACAGAGGCCAGGCATGTCCTCATAGCTTGTTTTAATACTTTTGATGAGATCAAGTGTGGTTCAGGATGGTATGCCCTTGGATTTGTTTCACTGCTTTCAAATGTATTTGCCTAGATCTGATTGTGGTAAAACTGCATCTCTATGACTATCCTATGAAATGACCTGAGAAATTTAATATTGAGACAATGGCAACACTAAACAAACAGGGTCATCAAAATTCTGTATAATAATTTAATTGCTTTTGGCCTAAGATGATAGCTTGATTAGTTTGACCAGAAACATAAGAGTTGAATAGAATGAAGATCTCCTAGAAGACCTAGAAGGTCTTTCCCATATAATTTGCTAATTTAATTATTCTTTATAATTAAACTCTAGACTATATTCATAATTAAACAATAAACTATTGGAAGAACACAATATTCTTTTTAAGTAAAACACCCAAAGTAAATTATTGATGGTAATGCTAGCCTAAATTTAGCTTAATCTTGAAATTACATATGAAAAGTATAATATCATAAGTAAATCAATGATAAATTAAATGTTTATAAAAATGTTTTCATGTACTTTAACATTTTACTTATCAGTATTTGCTAATTGCAAATTCATTTCATTTCATCTTTGGTAGTGTGTTATGTTGTGAAGTCAAGATATGATGTACACTTGACAATAATGAAAATGAATTTCTTTTTCATTTTTTTTAGGTTTTTTTTTTTTTTTTTAAGATTTATTTATTTATTTATTTATTTATGCAAGCATTGGGTACAGTCAGAAGAGTGGGAGGGTGAGAGAATTCACCAGAGCCAGAGCGGGGAGCAGAGCAGGCAGAAGGACCGAAGCCCACTGCTGAGGGGAGCAGCGGGCGGCAGGAGAGGTCTGCGCGCCTTGTGGGACTCTCCTCCAGTGGCCGGGGAGCAGGCAGGGATCGAACCGGCGCCGCAGAGGCTGCGGGCAGCTTCGCAACCCAGTGTTCAACCGCTGCGCCACCGGGGAGGCCCTCTTTTTCATTTTTTAATCCTGTAAGTCAGACTCTTCTTCCTTAGGAATGACAAACTAGCAAGTTTTGGTTTTGAATCTGACGGTCCAAACACTGTTCAAAGTAAAAAGGAAATTAATTTGGAAACATGATTTAAATTTTCACATCAACGTTCTTTTCACCTTGGAGCTAATCAAAATTTATTACATCTACTCAAAAATTAAGCTCAGTATATGGATTAACAACAGTTGTACTTGTGTGATATTAGTTATAACAACCACAAGAGACATAATTGGGCAATTTTAAAAATATAACACAGTTTATTTTTTTTTTTTTCATGAAATGCCTACATTTGTTTGTGGTGTTTTCTTGTCTTAATTTGTTGACTTCATCCCAAAACATAAGACCAAATCCTTGTTTAATAGTTGTCTGTGCTGTGAATGCTCTTGCCCACCACGTGCTCAACAAGGACCTCAGCGACATTGTCGCCAACTTCAGAGGCTTCTACAGGCAGCTCACAAGTGATGGGCAACTCAGATGGGTAAGGGACTATATTGTAAAATGCTTCTATAAATAATGTTTTTAAGGTCTGAGATGTCCTTGGATTGCAACAAATGTGAAAATAGAGACAGGTTTACAATGTTAAGGTAAAGCAATTTATTGAGCTAGACCTGGATTTGAATCATCTAGACAGTCATGGATTTGAGGCCATCAGTTTCTTTCTTTAAGACTTCAACCTGGATGTATTTTTTTTTTCTTTTTAAAAAATTAATTAGTTTTTATTCCTACAATGTTTGCTTTCTTTTCTCAGGTGTAGTCCCCATAGAATTTCCACCACCAGTTCACCCTTGCAACATCACCATAGTCTCTTGTGCTCTTCCCAAAATCAAATCAAATCAACCTGGATGTCTTTGAATCCTGAGAGCTGGCTCTGGGCTTATGGGTCTCATCTCCACCCTCTGAATTGGAGAAAGTGGCCTAGACTTTCTAGATATAAAGTGTAAATAGGTAACCTTTTGTGGGGAGAGATAAAGTGAGTAGTATTGGAGTCCTGGGAGGAGATTAATGACAGAAACATAAGAGAAGAATAAAGGTTAAGAAAATAGGGCCTTACCTGGTGGCGCAGATGGTTGAGCACAGCACTGTGCAGCTGTCTGCAGCCTCTACAGCACAGGTTCGATCCTGGCCAGACATTGAGAATCCTAGCAGACCTCTCCTGTCTCACCCGCTGCTCCCCTCAGCAGTGTATTTCAGTCAGTCTGCCTGTTCTGCTCCCTGCTGTCTCTGGTGAATCCTCTCACCCTCCCATATATCTGGCCTGTACCCCGGTTCTTGAATGCATGAATAAATAAATCTTTAAAAAAAAAAAAAGAAAGAAAGAAAATGGAGACTAGAGTACCTTTTATGTATGTAAGTCTGCTTTTGAATTCTATGTTCAAGGTGTGAAGAAGTGAGGTTCTAGAGAAAGGTTTCTAACACAGTAAGAGCAGTTCAATAACCTGGACTTGCCCTTGCTTCCTTATACCAGCTCTGTCTCAGTCTCCTGTCCATGCAAGAGAAAGGCACAAGGGAATGCCCTGTCCACATTGCCTCAGATTTTATTTCATTACAATAGAATATAAACTAATATAGAGGAATGAAACATTAGAAAATCATATCTCAACCATCATAGCTATAGTTGATTGAGGCAAGAATCATCGATGATTACTGAAATTTTTGGACAATATTAATTTCCTTAGTTTGAAATGGAAAATGGTGAGTTCACAGTGGAGAAGCATAATGGACACCAATTTACCCAAATGCTAAAAGATAATAATTATAATTTTAAAGAAATTAATAACTGTAAATTTTTAATGACATCATTGCTTATGTAGTATTTGTGCCAAAAAGATATAACTTGAATCTATTCATGAAGCAACTTCAGGGCAGCCTAAATTGAGAGACACTACAATAACCTCACCTGTACTTTCTTGAAATGCTTTCTTAGCATTTTAAGAAAGCATTTTAAGAAAAAGTAGAAAAACTGAGGTAAAAAAGAGACTAAAGAGACATAAAAACTAAATATAACGTGAATAAAATAAAGTACATTATTTGAACAATTGGTGAGATGTGATTATGAACTATCTTTTAGATAATATTAATGTTACATCCCTGACTATTAAGTATTATGCTATGGTTATATAAGAGAATGTCCTTGTGTTTAGGAACTACATTCTATACCATTTAGGGCTAAAGTGACAAGATACCTGCAACTTTCTTTCAATGGTTCAGTAAAATGAATTTTATTTATATCATAAATTATATTTGTATCTGTATATATGTAGATATACATACCCATATACATTTATAGGGGCAGAATATATAGGAGTTTTGGGATACTATTCCTGCAACTCTTCTGTAGATTAGGAACAATCAAAAAAAATAAAACAGCTCAAGTTTCCATTGTTACCTTTTAATTCTTGAAATGTGTTCCTGGCTAAAAGGCCTAGACATCTTTTTCTTTTCTTTTCATTTTTTTTATAGAGGCATATTTTTATTTGTTTGTTTGTTTGTTTGTTTGTTTTGTTTATACATGCACTGGGTACAGTCAGAAGCACGGGAGGGCTAGAGAATTCACCAGAGCCAGAGCGGGGAGCAGAGCAGGCAGAAGGACCGAAGTACGCTGCTGAGGGGAGCAGCGGGCGGCAGGAGAGGTCTGCGCGCCATACATCTTTTTCTTTTCTGAGTTCTGTTGGTTTTGCTTCCTAACCAGATCGGTCCCGAGAAAGGTGTTGTGCATCTGGCCACAGCGGCTGTTCTCAATGCAGTGTGGGACCTGTGGGCCAAGCAGGAGGGAAAGGTAACTCATCTGAGGGCACCGGGGCTTATGGATCAGCATGACGTGTGGCTGAGGACTGAACACTTCCTCTTAGGAAAGCAGTCTTTGAATGATCAAAGACAAATACAAAGCAGGCTTCCCAAGAGAATTACAGAGAATTGTTTGATTTTTGTGTCCCCTAACAGATGTTGGTAATAGTTAGGAAATTGTAGTGTCAATAGCATTAAAAAAAAAAAGACTGGGAAAAAAGGTGGGGAGCAAAGGGAGATTAGGGACAGGTGTGCGGGCAGGCAGGTGTCTGATGGGGGTGTTAGTCGCGCCTGCATTTACCTTCAGGAATGTGTACTTTACACATATGTTTTACTTTTTTTTTTCTTCAAGCCTCTGTGGAAGCTGCTTGTTGACATGGTAAGTGAATTCTTTAATATTATAGTTGTTTATCTAAATGAACTTGATTTCATGGATTACTTACTTTTTGATAATCAGTAAATATGTTCAAGATTATCCATGGATCACTATTGGGATGACAAAGCCTAAAACCAATACAGTGTAACACTGACACTGGAAGTAACAGCTGTGCTCATGCAGGCTCTTGTAGAGGTCTCGCCTCCGCCACTGTGGAGCTTGCACGCCTGATCCAAATCCTCTGAGCCTTTGCTTCCTGACAGTGAAAAGGGGGCAATTGTCACTTCAGGAAACCCATAGAACTAGTTAAAAGACCAGTGAGAAAAGAGTTTCACAAACTCTGGAGAGCAGGGTGTTAGTATCATCTGGTCATTTTAACCCCAAAAGCAAAAGCAAGTGACAGATTGGACTGTTGTGGTCTCCTCTATAGGATTTCAGAAAGGAAGGAACAAACTGAATTTTTACTTCGTTATTTCATTTCTCCCTGGCCTGTTTATAGCAGAAATGAGCTGGCTGCTAAAGGGGAAAAAAACTCTAGGCAAGTAAGGGGCAAGTGTCAGGCCCAGGTGACCTTGCTCTGATCCAGGCTTCTCCACTTTCAGGCTAAATGACCTTGGGCGTGTCACTTAACCTCTCTGAGCAGGGTGGTTGGAAAAATCTGGTGATCAATGAAGAAAAGCGTTGTTGTTGTTATTGTTGTTGTTGTTGTTGTTAGGCATCAAAATTAAGGAAAAACAGACATCCTGTCCTTAAAGGCTATTGGCGGGGTAGAAACAGTCCCTTCTCTGAAAGAAAGTAAAGACCAGAGGCTGTTACACCATCTGTCTGACATGGTTGTAGGTGGCATCTGAAAGGGAAGAACATGGACCTCTTAAACCATCTTCCGGTTCCAGGTTAGCTTTTTAGAGGGGTGCAGGGAGCAGCCCCCAAAATGGAATGATTTGAGCACCCCTGGGAAGGTGCCTGAAATCCCACCCATGGACTTTTCACTTCCCTGTTTTAATGCCAGTACTCTTAAAAGTAGAACTCTTCTTTGGAAGCACTTTTACATGTTCAATGATGGTAGTGGAGTGGTTTTGGTCTCATTAAAATCTGGGAGGGAATCGAGCTGCCAGTTGCTTCCCAACTGACTGTGAGGTTGGGGTGGGAAGAGTTCTGGTCTGGAGACCCATCCAGGAACATGGATCTCCCAGTGTGGTGAAAGCACTGAGTGTGGACAGGAAGAGATGGGGAGAATACAAGCCGTGATGGCCCCTGTAGGGGGTGCTGTATCTGCTCAAGTCTAGTCCACTTTGTTTCTGTTGGCAAAGTGAATTATCCCTGCTTGACAAGAGAGGAAATAGCCAAAATTGTGCTGCCAGTGGTGGGGGAAACAGGGTTGGCCTGGGTGGCTCTGAGACTGGCCTTCTTTCCTTTCCAGCTGAACTGCTCTTGCGCCCTGAAGTGTGGCGCGGTGCTGTGCAGAGCAACACCCAGCTCCTCTATCCATTTAACTTGTGCTGAGTGCTTGCCTTCTGTCAGGTCCCTGTGTGTTGGTTGGAGTGGGGAACCTAGTTTTTGAGGGAGGGGAGGGGAAAGGAAGGACCACGAAGGCCTGAGACATCATTGAGAGATGGTCATGACCCTCTAAAAGATCAACTTTACCCAAATCACAAGAGTTCATTCCCAGAGAGATAAACCCCATGTATCAGTGTAAGCAGATCCTTAGAAACATAATCCATTTGTGAATTGACTTTCTCCTTCCCCTCCCGTGGTCAGGATCCCAAGACGCTGTTATCCTGCATAGATTTCAGGTACATCACTGACGTCCTGACCGAGGAGGAAGCCTATGGTGAGTCATACTGGAGTGGAAGCTTTCTGGTACATGCAGACATGTAAACAAAGTAGTGGCACCCTTTGCTGTCTAAAAGAGTGATGATGTTTTTTTATTTTTTCCAGAAATACTGAAGAAAGGTCAAGTTGGTAAAAAAGAGAGAGGTGGGTTGTGAAGAAATTTCCTTCATGTTTGCTGTTTTGAGTGTCCCTGTTTTTGGGGGGTTCACACCATCCTCCCAGATGCCCCAGCCCTTTAACGGGCAGCTAAGTCTAGCTGAAGAAGCTGTCCAAAGTCAATTCACAAATCATGACTTCTGACTTCAGAGTTAACTTCAGCTTTTGCTAAAAGGAGGTTTGGTTTTGGGTTAGCCGCGCGATGCTAAAGGAAGGCCTTTGGCCAGTGGGACAGCTCCAGAGGGTATCCTGAACCCCCAGGCTTGGCATCCTTGGAATTGCATGATGGATTGTGGCCAGGAGGCTGGACTTGGGGTGGGTGCCTGTGAAAGGTGGAGTCAGAAGAATAGGTGGATCCTCTCTGGGCAGTGGCTTGGCTGCAAGTAATTCTAATTCTGAAGGTTCCTGGAAAGTGCAGCGTGCCAGTGACTATTGTGTTTTCGCAGAGGAGCACATGGTGACACATGGCTACCCTGCCTACACCACATCGTGTGCCTGGCTGGGGTACTCGGATGACACGCTGAAGCAGGTGGGCATTTGAACCTGACTTTGTAGACTGGCTGTCTAGTTCTGGATTACTGGAAGAGATTTAATAGTTTCTGCCAGCCTTTCTAAATCATTGTGGATCCAAGGCCCCCATCAAAAGCACTGATACACAGAGGACAGGGGACTCTGATCCAGTCCCACCTTGGCGCTGGGAGGCGACAGCCTGGGATTTGATTCCCAGGCAGAGGCGGCAGCATGATGTTGTGCAAGTCAGCAGACCATGCTAAGCCTCAGTTTCCTCACTGTGAAATGGTCACATGACCCCTACTTTGGGTAGTTTTGAGGATTCAGATAAATGGTGTAACTTGTGTAATGCTGGAGACTCAGTGGTTAGCACATGTCACAGGGCCCATGTGTGGTTATTACTCCTTCTCATCAGACCATACTCACAGTTGCGAGAAAGACAGAGACTCTCTTCTGTTCCTCTTACATCCATTAGGTCTGTGGAAGCCACAGACTATCCTAGATTTACAAAGAGGAATATGAATGTCCATTCCCCCTCTAGGAATGTTGTGACAGTTAAAGAAATGCTTCCCATAGAGATAAGGAAAGAAAGTCACTCTCAGAGTACAGAGTTACGCTCTGTTGGCTAAGCAGTTTCTGCTCTTAATTTCAGCAACACATTGTTCTTCTGCTTTGTGCAATAACCTTAGTGCTTATGAAACCAGATCAGATTCCACTGAGATGCTGTGTAGACCAAGGAGAGTTCTTTGGCACATGGTGATGCTGTGTTTCCTTCCCTTCAGCTCTGCGCCGAGGCACTGAAGGACGGCTGGACCAGGTAACTTCTTTATATGGTAGTGAACTTGACAGGAGGCTTAGAGGAGTGGGGATGAAAGGCAGCAAGGAAGCCAGGAGTCATCCAGAAGCGTGTGGTCTGTAGGGACACAGAAGGGAAGTTTCAGTCTAGGCCAGGCTTTCTCTAAAGACAAGATATGAGCTCTAATCCCAATCCTAAAACATCAAAGGAGATCGTGGAGACCATCGATTTCAAGCACCAAACTCCAATACAAACCCACTCAAGAACACTGCCCCAGCAGAAGGCAGCTCTCCTGCCTGCCTGTGACAATGCAGGTGCCTTTCTCGTTCTCCTTTTCCTAATAGACGTGTCCTTTTCCAATTAAAATAAAAAAGAAGCCCACGCTTTTCTATCAGTAACAGGTGTTATTCAGCTTCCACGTGAATACTTCCAGAGACGGAGGGCTTAACTTTGTAAGGCACTTTTGTATTGCTCAAGGACTCTAAGTGTTAGGAAGAGTTTCTGTGGAACTTTGCGTCCTTATAACCCTGGTGCCAGTTCTCCCGGGGGTCCCAGTGCTCCATGGTGCCAGTGCTCCGGGGGGTTTCCAAGAACCAGGCTCCTCCTCTTCCCCTGAGTGACAGCCATGCTCTTCCCCCAGCATCTCCTCTTCCCTGTTTCTCATGTGTGGTCATGGGCCCCTGGGCACCCTGGGGTCTTCCTCCGGATAAACTCTGGTTGTCTGTGACCCCAATGCCTGATGCATGCAGGGTACAGAGTGGCCATCATCTCTTGTTCTGGTCACTGTGAGTCGATCCGAGGTGGCATGTTCTGCCTGATACCCATCACCAGCCAGGTTTTCTATGTTACTGCTACTCAGTCTGGCCACCCAACCTTCTGCCACTCAAAGTATGAAGTGTGGAGTGGGAACACCAGCATCCCCTGGGTGCTGTCAGAAATGCAGAAGCTCAGGCCTCTCCCCAGACTTACTGCTTTTGAATCAGCATTTTAACAAGATCCCTGATTTGTGTGTATGTCCACTAAACTCTGAGAGGTACTGAATTCTCGTTAATACCTCGGCTAAATAGAGAGTTGGTGTAGGGTCAGGAACAGGACACGGGGAAGATTTTCTAGGATCCCATGTAGACCGGGTAAAGGAGGAGTCAGAGGCCTCAGTGGTTTTGCAGGCTTTTATTGGGATTTACCAGGTACACGGCAGGCAGGGGTGCTGGGGGCCGGGAGGCTGGCAGTCCTCCCAGCCCCCAGCAAATCCACACTCTCTCTGGGGTCTCTGGCGTTCTCTGCTTCTGCTTCTTTGCTTCTCTCTCGGCTTCTCTTCGGCTTCTGCTCGCGTCCCCATGATGCCGCCCTTAAAAAGCACAGTCTTAGCCCAGGTGAATCCCATCTACCTACGCCCACACCCTATTCCAGGTGCCCGCCATCAGGCATGCATTCAGGACCGCAAGGATCCATCATCTATCCTGATGGCGGAAGGGCAGAAAAGCCTGACATTTTCTTTACCCTACAGTTGGGGATTGAGAACTTGAAAGAGGTAGAATGAAGCAATAGAAAGAAACCTGGGGATGTGATGATTTGGAATCAAATCTTGGCTTTTCCTTTCAGCCCTGCAAGTATTTGCTGTGTGTTCATGGGCAAATCGATCAGCCTCTCTAAACCTATTAACTCCTGGTTCTCCTCAAAATTGCTGTATTTGTAAAGGACCAACATAGCTGAGATTCATAGCAAGTGCTGGAGTAAGTTCTGGATCTTCCCTCCCTCCATGTACCTATGAAAGACTGGAGAGATCATATCTGGTGAGACAGAGAAGGTTGCAAAGAGATCCAGCCCCTCCCCAGCCTCCCAGCAAAATGAACCCAATATGCAGAAGCTGTGGGCCCCTGAAGTCTGCACTTGAAATAGAAGTGTTTTCTTCACTGTGCTTAGTGCTGGGAGAGAAAGGCAGGGGATACTTAAACAGAGAGTGGGCCTTCTATGGCTTCTCGTTGGCACAGAGAGTGGACATTGTGGAAAGCAGAGGGAGGACCTCACACAACCCAGACTCCATCTGGAGAGGAAGCCTTGGCATTGAGAGTGCCGGATAGAGAGAGAACTAGAAGGAGGATGCTGTTCCCACCAAGTGCTGTCCCCACTGTGCGGCAGTGCTACTTGGGATTGCCACACTCTCCAGGGAACAAAAACCACAGCTGAGGTACCAGCCCACCTCTCAAGAATAGTTGATGTAGGGAAAGCAAAATAGTCAGGCTTTTATGCCGTTGGCCTCTGTGGCTATCACCTGCGGCCTTGAATGCAGGAGGCAGTAAGGAGCATGGGCTCAGGGTACATGTGCCTGATGGTGGACACCTGGAGTATGGTGTGGGCTTGCGTAGGTGGGCACACCTGAGCCTGGAGGCTGACCTGTAAGGGCAGCATCACAGAGGATGGTGGGTGGCAAGAGCAACAGAGCAATGGAGAAAGGCTATGAGAGCACTTCAGAGCAAGACCAGAGAGAATAGATTCAGCGGGGCTGGGAGGCCTGCTAGCCTCCCAGTCCCCCAGCCCCCCTACCTGCCCTGCACCTGGTTGCCTCACTACAAATGGTATAGAAAGATCACTAAAAGCCTGAAAACCCATTGAAGCCTCGATGGCTCTCTGGGTACACTCAAAGGACTCTCCTTTACTGGCCTCCTGAATTGATAGAGAACCTTCCTTGCTGCTTGCTGGCACTACAGCTGGGCATCAAAACAGACCAGGAGAGCTCCCTGCCAGTGGCCAGCGGTGATGTAGAGGAGACCCTGCTGCTCCTTAGTTATGTCCCTGGGTGACTTGACTCTCCTGCACCAGGGGTCCCTGTGGCCAACCTCTCACTGAGTTTGGCTTAAGCTAAAGCCTCTTGTAAAGGGCCAGGCAGATGGAGATATTTTATCAATTCTACACTTTATATTCGGGATGTAATTAGACAGCTCGTTAGGCTCCCTTGCCCAGTCCTGCTCTCTTCTTTAAGTCTATAGCTTTTCATCCTTAATTTCTTTTCATGGCACAGCAAAACTGAATTAATGTTACTAAAAATTTAAACAGCTCTCCAGTTTTTAAACTTCCTGTCAGAAGGTAATTTAGAGTTATTTCCCTGATACTGAGTAAAGAGATGACCATTTGCAGGGTTTGTTTTGAGCAATTTGTCTGAAGATTGATTGGGAAAGAGCCAGAGGTTACTAGAAAATGTGATCTGTGAATTATTGACAGGAATGATAACTTCCACAGAAAATTCAGGTGGCTGTGCCAAGTCTGGAGACAGATTTAACCTACCAAACTGCATGTATTTTACAGGTTTAAGGTAAAAGTTGGTGCTGATCTCCAGGACGACATCCGTAGGTGCCGACTCATTAGAAACATGATTGGACCTGAGAAGATTTTGGTAAATAATCCTCTCCCATTGACAAATAAGCAGTGTTGCTAGAAGCCTTTTTCCAGGGCCCTAATACAACTTGTTTCAAGGAATTGGGCATTTTAACATTTAATGTCATAGGATGTGCAGCTTTGTGGTCTTGTAGTAGGCAAATTCTTAAAACCAACAAAACTGAGGGGCTTGGTCATTTTTAATTTTGTTCTGCAGAACTAGTTAAATAAGATCAGTTACAGTTTAACTATAGTTAAATAAGATCAGGGTTAGGGATTGCTCCCATTTTGCTAGCATGCATGTGCCTGAGTAAACAGGGCTCCCAATGGTGCCCTGCTGTGTCGATTATTTACTGTCCCTTCTTTTTTAAAAAAAAAAGATTTATTTATTTATACAAGAACTGGGGTACTGTTCAGAGGCATGGGAGGGAGAGAGAATTCACCAGAGACAGAGCGGGGAGCAGAACAGGCAGGCTGACTGAAGCACACTGCTGAGGGGAGCAGTGGGTGAGGCAGGAGAGGTCTGCTGTACCCATGTGGGTTTCTCCCTGGCTGGCCGGGGATCGAACCCGTGCTGTAGAGGCTGCGGACAGCGTCACAGCGTGGCAGCGTGGTGCTCAACCCGCTGTGCCACCAGGGTGGCCCTATTCTCCCTTCTTAACAAATCCAGCCACTGAGTTCATTGGAAGGTTCTCAGGGAGCCATTGTTGAAGAAATGCTGCAACTCTGACTGAAGTAAATGAATGGTAGGTCTTCTCTGACTGTGTGTTTTTATAAAACATCTCAGGTAAATATTTTCATAAAAGGAAGTCACAGTGACATGTTTTTATGAACTTTTAGAGGCAGATTTTTGTAATGTAAAATTTGAGTCCTCGACCTAGGACATTTATATATGAATCCATGCTGCTTTGTCTTATGAGGTCATCCTCATCCAAGTAATTTGATAAAAATTGATCCTGTACTGTCCTCTAGTTCTTAGAGTCTCCTATGAGGAAACTTACCACTTAGCACATTCTCTTAGAGATATGTTTCCAGGTTTGTCTTTTGGAAGTTCTGTGCTGTTGGGATGCAGGGACCCTTTCTTGGTCTCTGCATACCCAGCATTTGGCTTCTGGGCAGGATCCTTGCTTCAGAAAACCAGGCATTTAGAGTGAAAGACCTGGACTTCAACTCACTATTTACTTGGCTTTCTTAAGGCAAGTTACTAATTTCTCTGCATGTCAGTTTTTCCACTTGTAAAATGGTTAGTATGAACAGCTTCATAGAGTTCTTATAAATACTGTGACAAAATACATAAAATGCCTAGTAGAATAGATGCTTAATTATTGATGATTGTGCCAGACACATAGTGGGCAGTAGTCAATAAATGACAATTGATAGCACGTTTCAGAATGTGATAAAATGGCTCCTAAAATGAACATTGTAAGACATTGTACTTGGGTAGCATCTAAATGCAGATTGGGTCAGAGCTCCAGAGTCAGGGAGCACTTCTCCTGTGACCAACTCAGGGCGCTTCTGGACAGCATGGTGGCTTCATGAGCAATTCACATCTCCTCCAAAAGATTGTGTCTGCGGTTACTCTTTTGATCCCTTTGTTATGGTTCCAGATGGGCCTCCCTGGAGGAAATGTCAGGCTCCCCTGGGGAGTCCTGCTCTGCTGTTGGTGGCACTGAGTGACAGCATTTCCTCCCTGGAACCACTGCCCTGCAGCAAGTTCTCCACTGGGCAGACTTCACCATGAAGGGCCTCTCTCTTTGCAGATGATGGATGCCAACCAGCGCTGGGATGTGCCTGAGGCAGTGGAGTGGATGTCGAAGCTGGTCAAGTTCAAGCCACTGTGGATTGAGGAGCCGACCTCCCCAGATGACATTCTGGGACATGCTGCTATTTCCAAGGTATAAAAATGACTGCTGCCCCTGCCCCAGACATATGTAGTTTTTGTCTGATTTTCCAGCATGATCTTGACAGATCCTAAAATTTCTTTGCTTCTCCCCTGAATAATTTCTTTTTTAAAGATTTATTTATTTATACAAGAACTGGGGTACAGGCCAGATGTGTGGGGGGTGAGAGGATTCACCAGAGACAGAGTGGGGAACAGAACAGGCAGACTGACAAAATACACTGCTGAGGGGAGCAGCGGGCAAGACAGGAGAGGTCTGCTGCGCCATGTGGGTTGCTTCAAGGCTGGCGGGGATCTAACTGGTACTACGGAGCTTCACAGCACTGCGCTCAACCGCCTGCGCCAAACCAAGGAGGCCCTCCCCTGAATAATTCTAACTAGTGACAAGTACTGGTATGCACACCTAACTTTCTTTAACTCACTTCAGCTTATCCACAGCCTTTATTTCTTCTAATTAGAGAAAGTAAATTGCTAAAAGTTGAAAGACTACCAGTAATAGACATGGTTCCCATACCCATATTAAAATATTTTACTCACTCAGAATGAAATAAAAAGTAGATTCCTCTGGGTGACTCAAAAGGTTTGCTTGGTGAATGTCAAGGTTAGGCCTCCCTGGGAGGCTACATGTTCCCCTAGAGCCCTTGTACCTTCCTCCACAGATCTGCCCACCCTGGGGGCAGACTTCTCTTCTTTTCAGGTTTAAGACGCTGCTAAGTCAGAACATCTGTCTGTCTCTCAGGAAGAGTATCCCATTAGCTGTGGTTACGGTACTATTAAGATAAAATCAGAATGCCAGTGGGTTAATTTCGGGCTATAACTGGGAACACTAGATTTTTATTTCTTCCGACCAGAGCAAGTTCTATGAGTAATCATATTAAACCAAAGTCTGCTGGAGAGAGAGGAAACAGGCCAGGAACTGGTTGTGGGCTTTGAATATGAGACAGTGTCTGATGGCAATGGCCCATCAGGCCCCCCTCCTGTGCAAATAGACCTGCCTCTGACACAGGAGGTGTTAAGTCTCAGCCTCATCTCTGGTGGCAGCGCTTCCTTGCACAGGCTTGGCCAGCACTTGCTTCTGACCCACCTTTATGTTTTCACCTGGTAACCATCCCCTCCCAAACATTCATTTGCTTTATAGTCAAGTCCTATGGTCAGGACTAGGAAGTCAAGGACCAGATTTTCCTCCCTGAGGTGATTTTGCATTGCTCTGCTCTCCCCCTTTATGCAGTAATTGGTCTTAAAATTTCCTCTGAGGAAATCTTAGTTCCAAGTTTTAGCACATCTTGCCTGAATTCATGGGTCCTGTTGGGCTGTAGGGTTGGTGGGTCAGGGCCATTCTCTGTGTCTTGCAGGAAAGCAACATGTATCTACTTATGCTGGATACTCTACAAAAGCCTGTGTTTAAACTGCACCTCACTCTCCCCACTTTGTAGCCTAGTGGAGAGAAAAACCTAAGATATGTGCAGCATAGACAGATAGGGTGCTGAACAGGGGCCCAGAGAGCTGAGGTAGTAGAAAGAAGGTCATTGAGGAAGAGATGGGTGTGGACTGGGAGGCAGCTGGCCTCAGGGAGATAAGACCCATGGTAAGGAGAGCTGACTTGCAGTGGGGGAGACAGAAGCAGGGGCCCTGGAGGGTACCGCTGAAACCTTGTGAGGAGCCCTTCCAGAATCAGAATCTGAGAGGCTGTGGTTAAACAGCACTTTGGCCGGGGGGGGTTCTTATAGGATAGCCACCATTCTGCCTCAACAGGGACCCGAACCCCTGCTATCTGGAGTCCTCCAAAGCTCTCCTGGGCTTTTACCTTCCCAGATTTTGTTTCCATGGAGACAGCCACCCTCTTAGAGGTGTCTGAGGAAGGGCACAGATGAACCCAGGCAGTGGGATGCTGCCTTGGGGCCCCAGCAAGCAGGCTGGGGCCATGGAGATATGCAGCAGAATGTGGGTGCATGTTGGGGGGTTGTGGGCAGAGAAAGCCACAAGAGAGCCTCTTTGAGTTCTGAATGAGAGAAGGGGAGTAAAGCTGATCTGACTGGCAGCAAGATGTAGGATGGACTGAGGTAGGGGTCTGGGGTGGTGAGAGTGGGCATAAAGAACTGGAGGTAGGTAGGAGGTTTTCCCAGTAATCTGTAGGAGCAGAGGGAGATGACAGGAGAGGGAAACAATCGAGCAGATCTGAAAAATGGGATGACTTACAGGAAGCACCTGGAGCCAGTGAGTCTGAGAGGAACCACTGCACCATGGCCATGTCTCCCCCTGTTCACTGCCCCAGCCCAGAGAGATGGAGAGTCATTCTCATCTGGTGGGTGGCACAGATGGGAGTCGGGCCAGAATGCAGAAGAGCCCCTGCAGTCATAGCCAGGAAGGGAGGTAATGGCAGCATAAGAACAAGCACAGGCTTTTCCCTTCATAGACACACACTTCCCCTCCTGTTTGCATGCCTGCCCTGGGCCGCCTTTTGCTACTCCTTTTTCACAAAGGATCCAGCAGCCCCACTTCTGGGTATTTGTCAAAGGAAACAAAATCACTATCTCAAAAAGATATCTGGAGCCCCACATTCACCTTCACATGATTCACAGTAGCCACAACTATCCATCCATCGACAGAAGAGATGAGGAAAATATGGGGGCGGGTGTGTGTGTGTGTGTGTGTGTGTGTGTGTGTGTGTGTATAAAGATATATCATTAAATACAAAAAAAAGTAAATCCTGCCATCTGTAACAACATGGATGACTTACGGGCATTTTTACATGTAATAACTCAGAAACAAAAAATACTATTTAGTACTTGCTGTATGTGGAATCTTAAAAAAAAGCCCTGAATTCTGGAAAAGAGAACAAACAGATTGGTGCTTGCCAGAGGCAGGGAGCAGAGGAAATGGGTAAAGGTGGTCAAAAGGTACAAACTTTCAGTTATAAGATAAAGTCCTCTATGTAATGTAATGTATGACCTGCTGACTAGAGTTATACTGAACTGCATATCTGACAGCAATAGAGGTCTTAGAAGTTCTCATCAAAAGGAAAAAAAATTGTAACTGTGTGGTGATGGTTGTTGACTGAACTTACTGTAACCATTTGGCAGTGTATTCACATATCAAAGTATGTTGTACACTCAAAACTAATGTCACATTAATTATATTACAACACCAAAAAAGTTAAAAAATAACTTCACACTGCTCAGCAACAGACATTTCCTTCTTCATTTTTAAACATTGGGAGTTTAAACATTTGGGAGTTTTCAGTTCAAAACAGGAAAATAACACCAGTTTACCTTTTATTTTATAGGCATTGGCCCCACTAGGGGTTGGCGTTGCCACGGGAGAACAGGTATGTGGGGCCAGTAGACACTGGCCAGCAGCTAAGGACACCACATACATCAGGCTTCCTTTCCTGTTGTATTCTGAGTTGAGAAATTTTCAGTCTTGGAAACCAAGTCATCTTCTAGCAGCACTTTATTATAACCAGTAGTCAGATATAGTAAATAGTTTGTATATTTTTCTGTAATTCATGCGACTGAGATCATTTATATTTCAAAATATCTAATTAAAATTCATAAGACAGTAATTTAAAGTTGCTGTTGTAAAAGCATAAAGTGCCCTGTATGGTTTTAAGAAAGCCAGCTTCCAAATTGAGTAAACATTATTGCACTCACTTTTTTTGCTTATAAACGAAGCACAAGTGCCTGCCAAACCCTGCGGCAGCCAGCCCACGGGCAGCAGATCTATGCGGAAAGAACAGATTCTCAGTTTTCCCAGCAAAAGGAGCAGCGCCACACTGCCTGGTGCTGTTTTGTTGTCTGTGCCACCTGCTCATTGCTGTCGCTGTAGTTCATCCTGATGCTTTGCTTCATCTCACACTTGCCAGTCGCTATGACAGTTACTCCTAATAGATGATGAGTTGGTGACTTTTCTATGACTCATACTGTTCCACTAGATGATTTGTAAGGGAGTAGAAGGTGCCTGCCTGGACTATCAGGGCTTGCCTCATGCCAAGTGAAGGGGAAGAGTAAATACAGTGCAGGTTTCCTGATGGCTACTAATGAGTGACTTAGAATTTATTCCAGGTTTAGCACTCCCGAAGGCCAAAGCTGACTCTTTGTTGGTTTCATTTTAATTCTATTTCCAGTGCCACAATAGAGTGATATTTAAGCAGTTCCTACAGGCGAAAGCCCTGCAGTTTCTCCAGATTGACAGCTGCAGGCTGGGAAGTGTCAATGAGAACCTCTCAGTGCTGCTGATGGCCAAAAAGTTTGAAAGTAAGGTCACTACGGAGCTCCAGGGCAAACCTCCACTTCCCTGTCCGTCATAAACATTGTACACATGTGCTCCCCTCTGGAGTTTGCTATTTTGATTTTTCTTCGTAATTCTCACTTAGGCTTAATCAGGGCATCTGATGATTTTCATCTGGAATTTCAATCCTAAGTAATATGAATGCCTTAATCAGCCATGGGCAGTGAGAAACACTATACATTCTTTCCTCCATTCCCCTAATACTCTTGGTATTAAATAGAAATCTGTCTTTATTTTAGTTCCTGTTTGTCCTCATGCTGGTGGAGTTGGCCTCTGTGAATTGGTACAGCACCTGATTATATTTGACTTCATATCAGTCTCTGCAAGCCTTGAAAATAGGTCAGTAATGTGTCATTAACTCCAACAGTGTCTCACAATCCAGGCCAGACCTTTTCAAATTCTGCTCTCATAACCAAAGGCACTAAGAAACCTGTTCATGGGTACATCCTCTAATTCAAAGGCCTGATTGCTTTTTATCCCACCATTCCACATGGAGCAGTAGCATGGAACTCTGCTAGAGATCAAAGTCCTTTTTCTTTTAGAGGGGTAGGTTCTTGGTAGCTGATTCAGATTGTTTTCTGAGTACTTGCAGGTGGTGGTAAGAGTTGGATTCCAGATTGAAACCATGAATTTTTCCTCAACCAGCTCCTATGGCTTTCTAAAGCTCTGCTTTCATCCTGTGTACACTCTCTGCTTCTATTAGGTGTCAACTGGAAGTCTTTATTTAGTTCCATCTTCTCAGCATGCCACAGGTAAACTTTAAATTAGGACAATACCTTCAGTCATCTGCATACATACAGCTTTGTTATACATTCTTTCCTCCTAGAATGAAAAGTGATAACAGAGCATTGTAGTGGCAGGAAGGCCCAGAGCAGGGAGCTCTATGATCCAAGCAGATGGGTAAAGGAGAGTCCTGGAGCCCTCGGTGGTTTTTTCAGGCTTTTATTGAGCTTTTACCAGGTACACGGCAGGCAGGGGTGCCAGCAAGTCTTCACCCTTTTTGGGCTCTCTGGTGTTCTCTCATGGTCTCTTCTTCTCTGCTGGTTCTGCTATTTCTGCTACTCTTTCTCTCATTCTCTCGTTCTGCTGGCGTCCCTGTGATGCCGCCCTTATAAGCCCAGTCTCGGCCCAGGTGTGCTCAACTATGCATGCCCACACCCTACTCCAGGTGCCCACCATCAGGCATGCATGTAGGACTACAGGGATCCATCATTAATGCTAATTGCGGGAGGGCGGAAAAGTCTGGTAATTTTTCACTTACCCTACAGTAATCACTGGAAGTATATTGTGAGAGCATACAAACATCAATGGAAAAGTAAACACCAAATTCAGGATTGTGAGAGAAGTGGCACCTAGAAGGGTGTATAGGAGGCTTCACTTATAATGGTTTGTCTTAAGCTGAGTAGTGAGTAGACAGATGTTGCCATTTTGTGTGCCTGAAATACTCTGAACTATAAAAAGTTAACATTCCTGGGTTATTGGCTTCTGTTCAACCATCCCATACTGGGCAGGTTCATTGTTGATTCAGGTTGACAGGAGAATTTAGGAGCCTTTGGTAGGTTTGAGAGGCTGTTAGTGCTGAAGCAAGGGGCCGGATACAGGTAGACCAGGGAGGCAGGCAAGCAGGGACACAGCAACAAGGCTCCCTACCCTCACTTCTCTCTGCCCAGGTGTACATATGCATAGGTCCCGTGATTGCCAGCCTTTCAGCCTGCCTATCCATAATCATGGGTGTATGTGCCCCATGCCCACAGTCCCAAGCACTTTCTGAATCAACACACTGTGGGCTAATGGCGGCAGGAGGCGAAAAAGAACCCAAGTACCCCATGTTCCTTATACCCTCCCATTTCACTTCCTACAGATCTTAAGGGATGAGAAAAAGCTAGACTATATAGGACAAAGCTTTAACTCCCGAGAGTTTATTTTCTTTTCTTTTTTTTTTTCCACCTGGTCTCAGTCCAAGCTCAGAACACAATCCATCACCAGGTTCCAGACTGTGAACTCAGATTGCGCAGTGGTCTAGTCATCATCGACCAGGATTTACAGTGGCAGCTGCAGAGCTCTCCCTAGGCCCCCCTCATCTCTAGCCTGCCCTGCTCCCCCTTACTCCCCGCCCAGGTCCCCTGACCCCACTTCGCCACATTTTCATAATCCTCTCAGGCTCCTAGCAAGCAGCACCGCCTTCAGTGGGGCCCGATCATACAAGGAAAATATTGTCGGCTCATTAGTGGGGCAGCGTCGGGGATCTTAGGGCACCCAGCTCTACAACACTGGCCCATGCCCACCACTAGCCCTACCCTAACCCCACCCCTACCCTACCCTACCTCCACCCCTATCCATACCCTACCCCTACCCAACACCTACCCCTACCCCACCCCTACCCTAACCTCCCCCCGCCTCTACCCTACCCCCACCCTCACCCCACCTTGTGACCACCCAGGAGTGGGTGAAGTGCCCCATGCCACTCCTCTGGACCTCACTGCTGGGGAATGCCAATGTACAAGCAGAACAGCCACCAGCCAGACGCCATGCGGGGCCACACCTCACACCTCTACTTTGTGTTTCTGAGTGAACATCTGCACATTTATTTGTTCTTCAAGGTCCAAAGGTCCTCTCCAGAGAGATGGTTCTTCACTGTAGCTCGTTTACAGTTCACACGTAGCACATACTATAGCCAATGATTTTAGTCTATGTCCACGGAAACCGTAAGGCCTTCTCTTGCCAGTTCCTTTGTGTAACACCTGCACTAGGCACATGGCTGCCCACCACAGCTGATCATTTCCCATGACTGAAGTCAGGCAGCAGAGGTAGTTACAAAACAAGTAGCTGACACCAAATTTGAACACAGATTGGGCGAATCTTAAAACCTGTGCTCTTCTGAATTGTATCTACCTGGAAGGGACCTCATTTGATGATTTTAATCTATTCTTAACTTTTGGCTAAAGGCACTCACATAATCCCAGATATTTATGGAATCTAAACTGACCCCTTTTGGGATCATACTACTTTAAAGTTAAGAGATTTCATTTATGCACCCAAATTGCTTTATCTGAGGCTCTGGTTATTGGATTTGCGTAGAAACACGTGCTTATCAGACAACCCTTAACCCTTCCTTCAGTGTCCATGCCCCTTCTGCTTGACCAGTACGCCGTGAATTGTCTAATTTAAGGCTTTATTGCCCCAATCTGATTCCTTTCTTCCAGAATGTGTGAGTATGTTGATCACTTGCATGAACATTTCAAGCATCCTGTGCTAATCAAGAATGCTTCCTACATGCCTCCTATGGTAAGTTTGGCCACAGGGCCTCACAGAGCAAGCACTGCTGGTTCCTGCTTTACTTGTTCTTGGGAACCAGACCATACAGAACAAAGCTTTGACTCCTCAGTTTATTTTCAATATTTAGAAACAAATGGTCCTTTAGTCAATGTCGAATTCCCACAGCCTGAAGGTCAGGATTAGGAGGTTAAATTGCCCCTGGTGATGCTTCTCTAATTCCAACCTTTCCTTACCAGCTGAGAACGTAAAACATGCCCTCTGTGAGAACAAGACGAGAGAACACTGGCACCACCTAGCAAGTTAGTAAATGAAAAGATTTTCACTACAACTGTGTTATTTTGGTCATTTATCCTCATCATGTACAAGAGATCAGGGCTCATAAGTCAAATTATTATGCTGTATACTTTACACAGCTGTTTTGCAACCCCCTTCCCCCCAGGCTGGGTAGGTTCATCTTTAATTTTCTCAGATGAAAAGATAATTTTGGAGGCTTCGGTAGTCAGGTCTTTAATGCTGAACTAGGACAGACCAGGTTTCTCTGTCGTTTTTTTTCTGGCTGTCTCCTCCCCGTGGTCGTTAACTGTCCTTGTCTCTTATATCCCCACGCCCCACAGCACAATTGTTCCCATTTACATATGCACATGCCCTGTGCAAGACCACAGGTGCTGGTCATAGATAATGGGGGAGGCGTAAAAAGCCTGGTAACTTCATTTACCCTACAACTGCTGGGTCAATTATATCTTGATAAAACAAACAAAATGTGTCTCTCCTGCCCAAAAGGAATAGAGCTCAATTTCATCAAGAGTTTAGATTATTGGGACCTCTCTTTTGGCACAGGGGTTAAAGTCTCAGTGCTATCAAGCTGTCACCAGTCACTGTGGCATAAGTTCGATTCCTGGCCAGGAAGCTGACCCACATGGTACAGCAGACTTCTGTCTCACCCACTGCTCCCCTTAGCAGTGTATTTCAGTAGATCTGCCTGTTTTGCTCCCCACTCTGTCTCAGGTGAATCCTCTCATCCCCTCCACCTCTGGCCTATACCCTAGTTCTTGTATGCATAAATAAAAACAAATCTTTAAAAAATAAATTTATAGTAAAAAAAAAAAGTTTGGGTCATCAAAGGAAGTTTAGTTACTAATCCTGGAAGTAACCAATAAAGTGCTTCCCTCTCTCCCATTTCAAATAATCGGAAACTTCATTAATTCACTTATATCTGGCTTAGATTTTTTTCAATTTTTTTTTTTTTAAGATTTATTTATTTATGCATACAAGAACTGGGGTACAGGCCAGAGGTGTGGGGGTGAGAGGATTCACCACAGACAGAGTAGGGAACAGAAGAGGCAGACTGACTGAAATACACTGCTGAGGGGAGCAGCAGGCAAGACAGGAGAGGTCTGCTGCACCATGTGGGTTGCTCCGCGGCGGGCGGGGATCAAACTGGCACTGCAGAGGCTGCAGATAGCTTCATAGATTGGGTCTAACCCCCTGCGCCACCAGGGAGGCCCTGGCTTGGATTTAAAAGCATTTCTCAGAGCAGTGGAAATACAAAAAGTCTACTTATACTTATTAACACAACTCTTTTGGTCTCTGATAGGATGCTGGTTATTCAACGGAAATGAAAGAAGAATCTGTAAAGCAGCACCAATATCCAGATGGTGAAGTCTGGAAGAAGCTCCTTACTGCTCAAGGGAATTAAGTTCTCAGCCCTCACACATTCTTTTTTAAGTGAAAAGGCTTAAAATTTCTTAGGTATGGTTTTATATATGGGGAGAAAATCATCCTAGTAAAAACGAATCAGTTGAAAGTTATGTCAACGTTAGGAATCAGCTCAGTAGTCATTATTACTTGATCCTTTAAACAAAGGCATTCTCGTATTTGATTCTTAAATAAATTTAGACTTAATTAACCCAAAGTCCAGGAAGATTTTCTTACAAGATTTTACCTTGCTGGTACAGACATTAAACTGTACTTTGAATAAAAGAAGCATGTTGCATAATTTGTTGGGGTAATTGCTTATTCTTTTTAACATTTGTCATAAATTAGCAGAATAAAAATAGTTCTGCAACACCGTGGGGTATCTGGTATACAACAAAGGTAAAAAGACCTCACAGATTGGCCCTGAAGTGGTTTAGCAACTCTTCTTGCTCAGTCTAAACATATTAGAGAACTCACACCAAACTAGGAAGGCACAATGATATTTGTGATATTTTATCACTATATTTAGTGATAAAATGCAACTAGAATTAGAGGAACCACAGAAAAATAGGGCAAAATGTAGTTAAGTCAGCATTTCCAACATACACCCTCACCTTCAGAGCAGCATCCAAATGAGAATACAGCTGTGTATTTTATTTAGGGGGGTTCAGTTAATCTATTTTAGTCAAGAACTGAGCAGAAAGGCAATACAGAAAAAAATAAACCTCACAGATAAATGCAGAACACTTTATTATAGTAATATATAACTTTAAATGTTCATAACCACATTATACATTATCATTGACTCATGATGCTGTTCAGCTGGTTCAAATTTGGGGGAATAGCTTATATAATTATGGAAATTCCTCACCTGCACAAAAATGGGATTGAAATGCATGTACATGTTTTTTGTTAAGAGCATAAATTTTTACCTTCTGACCATATTCATAATCTTAGCATTTCCATATATCCTTGGAGTTAATCAAGCTCAAGGCCTTTTACTGCTAAGAACCAGCAGTTTACTTCCCACTGGCAACATCCTTAATAGTTTGTAAATAAACTGACAGATCACCAAGAGATTTTTTTTACTAGTCCTTCTTTTAAAGCAAAAAAGTTTCACCTGGGCATCCCTTAAAATCACTCTAAACAGCCATTTCCATTTTAATAGAAGGATGAGGACTGTACCCTTCAATCTCAAAGTCTTCAGCTTTGAAATCATCGATTGTCTCAACTTTTCGAAGGATTTTGAGCTTCGGGAAAGGCCTTGGTTCTCGCTGAAGCTGAAAAACATTAGAATTATTTTGCCATATCTGTATAACTTGCTTTAATTCTGTGTCACTTCATGAATCAAACGCACAGTACTTTATCAGCAGAGTATTCCTTTACAGGGGTGTGATAGTGCAGATACCCTGGTTATGCAGGTTAATCAGTCCCTGGTCATGCAACACTAGATGCATGGCAGATGGATTCTCTTTCATGATGTGGATAGTAAAAGATATTTTGTGGAATGATAGTATCAGTAGCCTGGTGGTTTAGCTGGTGGTGTAAGTTTTTTTTTTTTTTTTTTTAAATGTGTAGTGTTTTTTTTTTTTTAAAGATTTATTTATTCATGCATACAAGAACCGGGGTACAGGCTAGATATGCAGGAGGGTGAGAGGATTCACCAGGGACAGAGCGGGGAACAGAACAGGAAGACTGACTGAAATACATTGCTGAGGGGAGCAGCGAGTGAGACAGGAGAGATCTGCTGCGCCACTTGGGTATCTCTCTGGCAAGCCGGATCGAAACTGCACTGCAGAGGCTGCGGACAGCTTCAAAGCACTGTGCTCAACTGCCTGCACCACCAGGAAGGCCCAGCGTAAGTTCTTATAATCAATTGTCCATGTAAATGCTCAAACAGGCCTTGTTTTATTGTACTTCAAAATAGTTTGCTTTTTGAGGGGGGCGGAGCAACATGGTGGCGAGGAGACGCTGCGAGTAAGATCTCCCATTAAAAAAAGTGAATAGGGAGGAAAAGCGGCAGGTCCCAGTGAGAACTGGGACACGGAAGATAAACGGGTGACGCCAGCGAACTGCCCAAAGAAGAAAGTGGCCATAAAAGAGGACCAGAAGGGAGGGAAGCGCAGAACCCTGCTCCCCTCCCCCGCCCACAGAGGCAGAACTCTCCAACCCGCAGAGAGGAGGAAACAACAAACCAAAACGGCCAACAAAAAACAAACGAGGCAGCAAGCGGGACTGTGAGTGGAAAGGAACTATTGCAGCCACCACACCCCGTGAACGGGAGCTGAGGCGAACCCTGCAGGATCCGCCGCGGCAGTGAGGGAACGGCTCCGGGCGCCATTAGAGAAGAACAAAGACCCCGGGAGACGCGCACACAGCCCGGGCTGCCGGTAAGCTGGCGCGGAAAAGCGGCGCGCTTGAAAAGCAAGTGCAGACCTGGATCGCGGCTGCCCAGGTCCCCGCGCCTGCGACCTAGGCTTGCGGGGAGACGACCTAGGCTTGCGGGGAGACGCGCGGAGGTCCTCACTGAGGTGAAGGTCCCTCCCTGAGTGAGCAGGAACCAGGCGCCCAGGCACGGGAGCGGTGCAAAAGGCGCCATTCCCGCGCCACTGAACTGGGCTACAGCCCGCGTCCTGGAACTGAGGGCTTTGAACTGAGACCCGGGGCACGAAAATTCGGGGCGTGGTTTCTCCACGACGGTGGGGCACAAGGCAGACACAGCACCCCAAAGCTGTTGAGGTGTACCCTACCATTCCCGCTCTGTTCTCTGTCCCACGGGGTGGGGGAGGCGAAAAACAGCCCCCCAAGGACAATAGGAGAGATCTCTGGCGCCACCTAGCGACCAGGAAAAAAAAAGTCACTAACACCCTATAAAACAGGACATTTCTTAAGACTGCTTGAAAAGGGCAGAAGGTTTCTGGAGGACCCAGTGGCCAGCCGGGAAGTTATTCCACGCCAGGCCCCTTCCGACCAGCAGTCTGAGCCCACAGAGGGAGCAGGCACCCACGTCCGGGGCAGACCGGGGGCGCAGAAGAGTGTGCCTGAAACCGGAGGCGCAGGGACTGCATCCCGCTTCGCCATTTGAGAACAGGGACATTTCTTCAGTAAAAACTGCCTAAAACCAGCAGAAAGCTCCCCCAGAAGACAGAGATGGCTCCTGGAAGAGCCAGAGGGGAGCGGAGAAGTTCACCCAAGATGTCAGTCAGTCCGAGCAACACAGTGTCCCAACGCATACGACAAATTAGAAAACAGACAGTAGGGAGTAGAAGAACCACACGCAACCTAAAAACTCCTCAGGAAAGAAGCACACCACAAAAAGAAAACCACTCCCCAGATTGCAACGACAGCAACTTGGAAGAACTTCTGAGCCTTCCAGAAAGAGAATTTAAAATTGCCATGATTAAAAAAGTGATAGATCAGAAGAAGGAAATTGAGTCCCTAAAGAGGGAAGTAAGAGAAATGCAGGAGATCAAAGAATTAATGGAGGAACTAAAGAACTCTGGGAAAAGCAGTGAAAGCAGAATAGATGAAATGGAAGAACGAATAAGTAATCTTGAAGACACAGAAATAAAAAGAACCAAAACAGAAAAGGAAAGAGAAGTACGAAGGAAAAAGAATGAAGAAAGACTTCGGGAACTATCTGACTCCATGAGGAAAGGAAATATAAGAGTTATAGGAATTCCAGAAGGAGAGGAGAGAGATGTAGGAACAGAGAAAATATTCATGGATATAATTGAAGAGAACTTCCCAAATGAGAAGAAGGAGCTGAAAATTGATATACAAGAAGCAAGAAGAACACCAAACTTCCACGACGAAAGGAAAAACACAGCAAGACACATAATAGTAAAGCTCCCAAGAATCCAGGACAAGGAAAAAATAATGAAGCTGACAAGAGGGAAGAAACAGATAACATTCAAAGGAAAACCAATCAGGCTGACATCAGACTTCTCTGAAGAAACACTACGGGCAAGGAGAGAGTGGAGGGACATAGTCAACAGACTCCAAGAAAACAGATGCCAACCAAGAATACTCTATCCCGCAAAGCTCTCTTTCCTCCATGAAGAAAGAATATGGACCTTCCCAGACAAAGAGAAACTCCGGAATTTCATTGCGACTAAACCCCCACTCCAAAAAATACTACAAGGAATCCTAAAGCCAGAACCTCAGAGGGACGAATAACAACGAAAAAAGACCAAAAAAAAAAAAAAGTTATTAAAAGAATAAATAAATAAAATCAAAGGAAAGACAAACATAATGGCAAATACAGATGCTAACATATCAATATTAACTCTAAATGTAAATGGACTAAACTCTTCAATAAAAAGACACAGAGTTGCAGCCTGGATTAAGAAACAAAACCCAACTTTTTGCTGTCTCCAGGAAACACATTTAGCTACAAAAGATAAAAATAGGCTCAAAGTCAAAGGATGGAAAACAATCCTACAAGCAAATGGGCCAAAAAAGAAAGCAGGAACAGCTATACTTATATCAGATAAAACAGACTTCAAACTCAAAAAAATAAAAAGAGACCCCAATGGTCACTACATTATGATTAAGGGGACAATACTTCAAGAAGAAATAACACTCATTAACATATACTCACCAAACGAAAGAGCACCAAAATATATCAGACAACTGTTGTCCTCTCTGAAAACAGACATCAGAGAAAACACATATGTAGTGGGAGACTTCAACACACCACTATCAACAATGGATAGATCAACAAGACAAAAAATAAGTAAAGAAACTAAAGCTCTAAATAAGGACCTAGAGCATTTGGGCTTAACAGACATCTATAGAACACTAAACCCAAAAAAAACGGAGTACACATTTTTCTCAAGCGCACACGGATCATTCTCCAGGATCGATCACATACTGGGGCACAAGACAAACATCAACAGATACACCAAGATTGAAATCATACCAACCATCTTTTCTGACCACGAAGGCATCAAACTAGAAATAAATCATAAAAAGAAGGCAAGGAACTATCCTACCTCATGGAGATTAAAAGCCACACTACTGGAAGACCACTGGACTAACGAGGAGATCAAAGAAGAAATTAAAAAATTCTTTGAATTGAATGACAAGGAGGACACCAATATCCTAAATGTATGGGATGCAGCAAAAGCAGTAATAAGAGGAAAATATATAGCAATAGAAGCTCACATCAAAAAACAAGAAAGAACTCAAAGAAACAACCTAATCTCGAAGCTCAAAGATCTAGAAAAAGAACCACAAAAAAACCCCAGAACCAGTAGAAGAAAAGAAATAATAAAAACCAAAGCAGAAATAAATGAAATTGAAACTAAAAAAACAATCCAAAAGATCAATGAAACCAAGAGCTGGTTCTTTGAAAAAATAAATAAAATAGACAAACCCCTAGCCAGGCTCACAAAGGAAAAAAGGGAGAAAGCACAAATACACAGAATCATAAATGAAAGAGGAGAAATCACAACGGACACAGCAGAAATCAAAAGAATAATCAGTAACTACTATGAACAGTTATATGGAAACAAGTTCAACAATCTAGAGGAGATGGACAAATTCCTACAACTCTACAATCACCCAAAGCTAGATAAAGAAGAAATAGAACACCTAAACAGACCAATTACAAGCAGCGAAATTGAAATGGTAATTAAAAACCTCCCCAAAAACAAAAGCCCAGGACCTGATGGATTTACAAATGAATTCTACCAAACATTCAGAGACGAATTAGTGCCTATCCTTCACAAACTCTTCCAAAAAATTGAGAAGGAAGGGACAATACCAAACACGTTCTATGAAGCCAATATTACACTAATACCAAAACCGAATAAGGACAACACAAAAAAGGAAAACTATAGGCCAATCTCCCTAATGAACACTGATGCAAAAATCCTCAATAAAATTTTAGCTATCAGAATCCAACAATGTATCCATAAGATAATTCACCACGACCAAGTTGGATTCATTCCAGGGGCACAAGGATGGTTTAACATCCGAAAATCAATCAACGTTATCCAACACATCAACAAAAAGAAATATAAAAACCATATGATAATATCAATAGATGCTGAGAAAGCTTTCGACAAAGTGCAACACCCATTCATGATAAAAGCCCTTGAAATTCTTGGGATACAAGGAACATACCTCAACATCATAAAGGCCATCTATGACAAGCCAACAGCCAGTATCATTCTCAATGGTGAAAAGCTGAAAGCAATTCCATTAAGATCTGGAACAAGACAAGGATGTCCACTCTCACCACTGCTTTTCAATATAATACTGGAAGTCCTTG